TCTTTCCCCTGGGAATCAAGGACGTTCGTGCAGGTGTTTGCAGGGAGGAGACTGAGGTCATCTAGCAACTGGCCTTTATGCTGATTGGACCATGTGACTGAGACTCTGGGGGGAAGTGATGAATTTTTACTTTTAATTGGGGGGGGGGGCCGGTGCCAACTTAGAGCTGGTTTTCCACCAGGAGTATGCTAATTTGATATGTCCTAATAAAAATGTTCTTTGAGGAACTTGTTTGCCTCGGAGTTCTTATTGAACAGGATGTATTACTTGGAACCTTGACAACAACAAGACACATTGGTTCGCAAAAAAGACTTGTGGACCAGAATCTTTGGTTGCAACAAGTCACAGCAGAGCTAAATTCATCATTTTCTGTTTTTCAGGCTCGAGGCGAAGGCGAATCAAAATCTCTCTGGTTTAAAGGCGGGTGAGTTCCAGTCCTGGAGAATGGGGTGAAATGGAAACATTCTTCGGATGACTTGTAGATTGCCGTTTTCGAAGGTTCTGTCCTAATTTCAGGTTGTTCCCAACATTTCCCCCATCCAAGTAGGTACTAAAGAACATCGCTAGAGGTTTTCAAGAAGAGATTAGACAACCATTTGTCTAGGAAATGGTCTAGGAAATAAGCAGGGAGTTGGACTAGAAGACCTCCAAGGTTCCTTCCAGCCCTATGATTCTATCTTCCATGACTTTACTTCCATGTTGAGAAGCAGCCTCTCAGTTCCCCTTCCCAAATTTATGCACTTCCTTTCTGATTCACTACTGGTGGAGACAAGAAGGATTAATAGATCTTTTGTATTATTAAAGAGAAAAAAAAGTGTCCTCCCCCAAAAAGCCACAGCAACCATGTCTCATCTGCACATTCAGGTGGCAGATAGCTGTAAAATGTGATCTCGCTCTGCAAAGATTTTGCAGAACATACGGTAACAATTGTTTTTGACAGCTAGGGTATTAGAATGGTTTCCATTTAATCAGATCTATTATGCAGATCTCCTTATTTGACAGTATTTCATAGATGACATTACTGTAATGCTTAGTACTTATTACAAGAATTGACATCCAGCAGTTAAAGATTACATTAAATCTAACAGATGGCACTCAATAACAGTTAGCTCTTGGCAGGATTTGACAAATGCAAAAGCATTTAGTACGATTTATGGCCATACATTTAGCAAGATTTTTATATTTTCCTTTTGAAGTTAAAATGGCAGGGTTTCAATAGTAGAAGACAGATTTCAAAAAACTGTAATTGTTCAAAATCCTGAGCAGTAAAATTTAATTTTCTGATTCCTTCAACTTGGGCACAATGCATTTTAAACATTGAAAAGAAATTAAAAATTAAACTCCAATTAAAAGAATATGATTGAATTGGGCATGAAGTATTGTGAATATGTATAAAACTATGCAGGGTATAGAAAAGGAATATTTTTCCTTCTCCCATGACCAACAATATTGTCAATTTGTTTGATAATCAATAGACAATAGAATTCCTTTTTCACATCCTCCATCAATAATTTGAGGGTCTACCAATCACAGAGGGTAATAGCCTCTGACTTAAGCTGTTTTCGAAAGATCCTTGGACCAAATCATGGATAAATAATCACCCTGTTGAGTCATAAACTGCCAGATGAAGAAATGCTGCGCTTATAGGAAAACTCCAGCCAGAGAACCTGGGACCACCCAAGACGTATCTAATTGTTGTCCATTATTTGAATCGTGACGCTGGACTAGATAGCTCTTGGTCTAATTAGCATGCTGCTCTTATGTTCTGACAGATGGGGAGGGAGGGTAATCTCTTTTTATTCCTGCTGATAAAATTTGTCCAATTCGACGTCCCAGAGTTGATCCTTACAGCCCTCATCCCCAAACAAAATTCCCAAAATTCAGGATCATAGGAAGCTTTGTATTTAGGATATCAATACAGTCTGTGCATAGATGTACGCACATATATACCTCTTGAAAGAATAGATTCACATCTCACTCAACTGTAGCATTCACTGTCAAACTTCTGACTACCAAAGTAGCTATGTGCCAGTCCAGATCTGACCTCCAAAATGGGGAAATGCTTCTCTGAAAGATGATATCATGATTTCTGCTTTGGAACAAAAGTATTTGAACTGAGATTCCCCATGCTCGATAATCGCAAGTCAATATTTTTTACAGTAGACCTTGTCTATCCAAAGTTATTTTGGAAAATAATTCTCCTGTCTTTGGCAAGTTGTGCAAGGTTTTGTACTCTTTTGAATTTTGGTTTGACAAGACATAGCCATGATGTAAAAGAAAGGGATGCTGGAGCCTTAGAAAATGATGTTGCCCTCTATTTATTTAATTTAATTTAATTAATTTAATTTAATTTAATTTAATTTAATTTAATTTAATAATTTAATTAATTAATTTAATTTAATTTAATTTATTTAATTTAATTTAATTTAATTTAATTTAATTTAATTTAATTTAATTCAATTTATATGCCGCCCCTCTCCGAAGACTGTTTAAGTGTCTCTAAAATCAGCCATTGTATTACCACATTCCCATAAGGAAGTCCATCATCTGGCAAGGGACAAACTCAGAATTCTCTCCTCCCACCCCATCCTCTTTCAACTATAGAATAAACATGGCAATGCTCAGCCTTGTGCATGTGCCTATCCAAATATTTCCACTGCCTTATCTTTTGATGCCTCCCCTTCCTCTCCCTTCTCTGCTTCCCTATCCTAACCTTGTTTCAAATTTCCTCCACCCTTCCTTCACCTGTCCTCTTGTATGATCTGACTGTTTTTGTCTCTTCTCCAGGCCTGGTGGCGGGTTGATCATAATTGATAGTATGCCTGACATTCGCAAAAGAAAACCCATACCCCTAGTTAGCGATTTGGTGAGGTTTCTTCTTCTAACATCTTTCTTTTCTCTCTCTCTCTCTCTCTCTCTCCAGCAGCTGCTGGCTTTATCTGCTCTGGAACAGCAGGAATTCCACTAAATGTGTCTCTGGAGCCAGCTAATGGAAGGATGAATGTGACCTCATAGATTGAAGTCCTTGAATTCAGTATTTTGTAATTTGAGATCTGGTGTAATCTTTGGCTGAGGCAGTGAATTGAAAAAAAATGCCCTGGTGCAAATTCTCTTGAAACCGTAAATGTCTTAAGTAGCCTCATTTGACCGATTGATTGTTTGATTTTATTGGTGTCCCATTTCCCACATTGAGAGAGGAGAGTGATGGGAAGGAAGACAGGGGTTGACTACATTGGTAAGATCTCTCTCTTTATATAGAGCAGGGGTCAGCAACCCGTGGCTCTGGAGCCCCATGTGGCTCTTTCATCCCTCCGCTGCAGCTCCCTGTCACTGGTCGGCGCCACAATTTTGAGAGGAGCTTCCGGTTGGGGGGATGAAGGACGGCACGACACGTGACTCTATGGCAAGGGGCGGGTTTTCTGGTCAGCTTCACCATTGATAGGGCTTTCGGTTAGGACAGATTGAGGAAAAAGGACGCTGCGCTAGGAGGAGACTCTATGGTAGGGGAACCGGACTTCTGGTCAGCTCCAGAATTTAACAGGAGGCTTCTGATTAGGACCTTTGTGGCTCTTTGAATGTTTAAGGTTGCTGACCCCTGATATAGAGAGATGGATACACTTATTCGTTTGCAAGAAAACACCATATCAGCCATCCCAAGCCTGGTGCCTTCCAAAGCCCTTTGTGAGATATTGGGCTGGAATCAAGAATATATTTGAACTAATAAGACTATAGTCCCAACGGCACCTGCTGCTTCAAAATTGAATCTAGCAGCAACAACATAGCCTTTGGCTAAATTCTATTTGGAATACAATAATTTAATATAGACGACGTTTCTTAACCTTGGCAATGTTATGATAGGTGTACCAAATCCCAGAATTGAACTCTCAGAATTCCCCAGCCAGCATGGGGATATATTTAATAGTTATTAACAGATATTTAATAGATATTAACATATCTTAAATCCCACATACAGTATTTTAAATTTGCTAAGATTGATTGAGGTTTCTTCAAGTCTTCAAATCCAGATTGGCTGCTACATAGGCACAGTCATATTGCAGCAATACAAAAATTGCATTGGCTTTTTTTTTTTTTTTTGCTTCCTATCAAGGCTACTGCTCTTGGATTTTCTGAAATCTCCCATCCAAGTACTAACCAGGTCCAACCCTGCTTAATTTCCCAATTAGATTAAATCAACCAGATGTTGCCTCTCGTGGTGGAATGGGACAACTCATTGCAGCCAACTCGCCATGGCCAACTCGCTGTGGGACAATTCAACAATTCAATTTAATTATTTAAAATAATTTTAAAATATTTTAATTTTTGTCATTCACATTTCATTTTGTCCCTCCTTTGGTATCCTTTCTTTAATGATTCTATTCCACTATTTCTTCGATATTAGTGTAACTCGGTGGTGAGTTGTCTCGCAGCAAGTTGGCCATGGTGAATTGTCCTGTGGTGAGTTGGCCATGGTAGGTTGGCCACAGCAAGTTGGCCATGGCGAGTTGGCCAAAGCGAGATCCCTTCTACAATCTTGCAGTGGAAATGTATCTCTAGCAACTGCATTGCACCAGTTCTCAAATTATAATGAAGAATAATTTTTAATACCTTCAAAATTCAAAGGCCTAGAAAAAAACCAGTAAATAACAATTGCTGCCACAATTTTCGGGATGATCCCCTTTCTGCCCTAAAATGTAGCTCATAACAACACCTGAAAACAGTATTGGCAGGGAAGGAAAAATCACATCCTCCATTACTCTGGCTCCAGCGTGCGCCGCATCTTATTCAGTTGCCTCTGCTTTGCTTCGCTAATAAAGCTTGTTTTGTTTCTCTTCCATCTTCTGCTTGCTGATGCTGTTGTGGGTGCATTCTCTCTCAGGGGAGCCGCAGTAAAGTTTCTGCGCTGCATTAACAGCATGCCCGACATTAAGGCTGGACGTAAATCTCTTCCGCTAGTGATCAGCGATCTGGTGAGAACAAGGTGAAAGGGAGAACACCCCACCCCCAGGATTCCTCCTCCCCTGAACCCAGGATCCCAATAACAACCAGTTGCAAATGTCTGATTTAACAAATGCTGTACAAAATCCTTATCCAACATGGAACACCAAATGTCTTCCTGCATTTTAATTTTCCAATTTTGTCTCTTCCTCCTAACACCACACTCCCAAACCTCACTATTCCCAAGATACAACCCTTCCTGTTGTGCGAGGTCTACCCTTCAACATGTTTTTGACCCACCGCATTTCTTGCACTTTTCCTTGTATGCTTCCCTTATTGACAGATTCCCTAACCATCAGCCTTTCGGAGAAGGCATAGTTCAGTGAGAACTTACCTTTGAAGGAGATTCTTCAGGTAAATTGTCTCAGCAGGACTGATGAACTAAAATTTTAGAGTAGAGAATACTGGGAAGATATATTTGTGAGCCAAAAGCAACCATACTTCAGTGGTAGATAAATGAACTGGGTTAGGCCCCCAGCATCTCCAGAAAGAAGAGAGGATAATAGTGTCCCTTGCAGGAAGTTTTGTGAGATCACTCAATTCTAAGATGTGTAAACAAGTAATTTGTATAGAATGCAGCACCTAAAATCTTTCTGCCTAGTTGCTATCCTTTGCTAACTTCTGTACTCAAGAAATTCTGGGGACTACAGTCTTGTGTACAGTATATTAAAATTTCTATGTCACAAAGCATTCGGAGTTTGCAAATCCTGAAAGTTCTCATCAAGAAGTTGATAAAAACTATTATTAGAGTGACTAATTCAGTGGGGAAAAGTTATTGGAATGTTGGTCTGTGACATCCAGGGCTTCCTAATGTTTCCTTGAGCAACTTCCTTGAGTTTTGTTGGAAATTATTGCTTTAAATTTATACTAAATTTATATATGTGATTGTGAAGAGCTCCAAAGTTCTTCAGATCCCAAAACTTCATAGTTGGAGAATAATCAGAGTGATCAAATGTCATCAGGGAACCTTGGAATTATATCTAAGTATAAACAGAAAGCCTGATAAGTCCTAAGCAGAACTACAGTTCCCAAGACTTATTATCTGAGGCCTCTAAAAGATACTAGAAAGCCTAGATGGGATGCTTCACAAGTCACAAGGCAAAGTACAGGAATTGTAGTTTTATAGAAAAAACATATTAAAAAAAATTAAATTAGTTTCAAGTAGGTTTTAACTTAAAAGTTTAGGAAACCTTGAAAGCTAAGTTCTGGTATGATATAAATCGCCATCACCTACAGGTTTGATTCCCTTCACCCCTGCACCTATGCTTGCCTGTCTCTTACTAACTTCCTGCTTGCAACCTCTGGGTTTTATTGTCCTTCCTTTGTCTGTCTTCTGCCTGGGCTTCTGCTCCTTCTCTTTGATAATGCAGCTTCTTTTGTGTCTTTTGCAATAGAGGGAGGGGGGATGCTGAAGCCAGTGTCTTATTTACAAGTACCAAACTTTGGCGTGTAGGTTGGAATAGCACTTTGAACAGCCAATGGATTATAGATAGATTTACATATTATAGATATACTTTTGACATGAAGAAATATATTATGGCATAATAGGCATTATTTATTATCCTCTGGGAATTTGATAAGTTTGTAGGAATTGTTTTGCCACCAAGTCACTAAGGGGCACAGTAAAAGAGTGCTGATGTTGGTGAGTGGAAAAGGTGGAGTAGGATTAAGTGGGAATATGGACATGAAGTCTAAAACCAAGTTAAAACCTTATAGGGTTCTCCTCAACATGATGACCTTCAAATGTGTTGAAACTTCTGAAGTCTCACCACATCTGGAGAAGCCAAGATTGGAGAAAGTGGATTTTAATAGATATTAGAATGGAATGGAAACTTGTGGATTTAAGGCTTTTTTTGAATTCCAAGTCACACCATTTCAATGGACTCCATTGGCTGAAGCCGATGAGAGGTAAACCATTAGGAATTCTCTAGACACACGAACCAGAACTACTGGCCCCCTATCTCTGAAATAGGAAAAGAATTAGGAGTCTCCCAAATCTTTAAAGGATCTTGTGCCATTTTGCTTATCATAGGGAAGGTCTGGAAGAAAGAAAGTCTAATTTTTGTTTTGCATCATATTAACTTCTTTCCTCTCTTCTTGTGCTTTTTCATCCTCCAATACTTTACAGGCTATGGTGAGTAGTCCTTTTTTAATATTTATTCTTTGTAAATGCATTCTCAATTCACACATCTACTAAAATTTAGGGATGATTGCTAGTTTGGATTCTCCTAGTTTGCTAGTCTGGATTCAAAATTCAGACTTTTTTTAATATAAAATATAGGGTTTTTTTTTACAAATATTCTATTTGTCTCTAAAGCAAATAGCAATTATGAAGATACAACTGGATCATTCATGAAAAAGAATGTGTACAGTCTGTATTACTTTGATTTAATTATTCTTTATGTTTCTTCCCACAGTCCTTAGTTCAGTCCAGGAAAGCTGGTATTACATCAGCACTTGCATCAAGCACTTTAAACAATGAAGAGCTAGTAAGTATCACAACTGCCTTTTAATTATTTACTTAAAACATTTAGGAAATGGATATCCTGAGCATTTGCTTAACAGCTCTGGTTGACTTATAGAAGTACAATAAAATTGTGTTAGAAACAAGAAATATAAAACACCAAACAATAAACATTAAATCCGTAATGCAAAACAGCTCAACATTAAAAGGCCTGGGTGAATACATATTAGACCCCTCCTAAATTATAATAAGGAGTGGTCTTGCTTCAATTCCTGAGAACATTGCTTTTTCATCATATGGATCATTCCACAAAGAAAGCACAATGATCCATTGAAGTCAAACAGAACCAGGGCAGGACATGAAACAGCTGCCATACTGATCTATTGGACAGAAAAAGTAAAGGAAATTTCAAGCAGTGGGGAAAGACAGTGTCAGAAAGCAAGAGGAGTGATATCAGCAGGTTGTGGCCCCTGTTGTGTATATAGTGCTCTGCCCTCTATTAGCAAGTGGTCCCCAAAACATTAGCATGAGAGAAACTTGACTCTAAGAGAAAAAAATGTTACCTAGTCTTTTTTCTGATTATAGAACATGTGTCAAGGAAGTATGGTTGTAACAGAGGACTCTTGCTAGAACATACCGTATTTTTTGGCGTATGAGACGCACCTTTTCCCCCCCTAAAAGGGGGTGTAAATTTAGGTGTGTCTTATACACCGAATGTAGCCCCGCCCACCCACTGGCCCCCATCCTTTGGCCTCTGCCTCCCAGAGGTTACCTCCTTGCAGCAAGCAGCAAGAAGAAACAGCTTGTTTTAGCTTCAGCACAGCCTAATTAGCACAAGTTGATTGGATCGGCCTCCCGACTCTCAGCTGTTTTGCTCTCAGCTGTTTTGTGCAGGGCTCTGCTGCTTGCTGCAAAGAGGTAAATTGCTGGAGCAGATTTTTTTTTTCCTTGTGCTAATCAAGCTATGCTGAAAGCGAAAATGAAAGTAAAGCAGGCTGTTTGCTGTTTGCTGCAACGAGGCAAAATTGCTGGGAAGCAGAGGCAGATTTCTTTTTCTTGTTTTCCTCACCAAAAAAGGTAGGTGCGTCTTATAGTCCGGTGCGTCTTATACTCCGAAAAATACAGTAGGTCTGTTCCCCACTGTTGAGTTGAAAAGATAAGAATGGTATAGCCAAATCTTGAAGTCAAGATTTTAACTCTTGGACAGTCAAAAAAAGAGAGGAAATGTTACTTTCACATCAGAACCCCTAAGGATGAATGAAGGCTGCCTCATTTATGGGCTGGGGACAAGAGGAAGACAACACCTTGGGGCAGGGGTGAAATGCTCCCGGTTCAGACCGGCTCGGGCGAGTAGGTAGCGATGATGGCCGGTGGTTCGGAGAACCGGTAGCAATGGCAGCTGGAGGCTCCGCCCACCGGCCCCATTCCCCGGACTCGGGGAATACACTATTCCGGACTCCTACTGCTCACCTTTCTCCCACGGCCGGCTGTCAGGGAAGGCAAGTGCCCGAAAGGTTCCGGAGTCGCTCACTCTCCTTCTTGAATGAGCCGCTCTGGTCCACGCGCCGGCTGTGCAAGCGCACATCCAATCTGCCGCTGAATGAAATAAACTGTGCCTTGCGCAGCCGGCGCATGGACCAGAGCAGCTCATTCAAGAAGGAGAGTGAGCGACTCCGGTACCTTTCGGGCGCTTGCCTTCCCTGACAGCCAGCTGTGGGAGAATGGTGAGCAGTAGGAGTCCAGGGAATGGGGCGGGTGGGCGGAGCCGCGGGAGAAAGAAATTTAAAAAGTTTTCCTACCGGGTTCTGTGGGTGTGGCTTGGTGGAAGGGGGTCTTGTGACAGAGTGGGCATGGCTGTGAGTGACATCGAGTTGGCCACGCCCACTCAGTCATAGGACACCCCCCACCAAGCCATGCCCACAGAACCGGTAGGGAAAAATTTTAGATTTCACCTCTGCCTTGGGGACAAGCAGCAAAAAAAGATGTTGCCAGGGCAAACACAGAAAGGCCCATAATATTTAGCCACTATTCACAAAAAATAGTGATAGCTAAGTCATTTGCCTTTCTTGTTCCAACCTGTATACTCTCTATTTTTTCCCCCCATAGAAAAACCATGTTTACAAGAAGACCCTCCAAGCCTTAATCTATCCCATCTCTTGCACAACCCCCCATAATTTTGAGGTGTGGACTGCCACTACTCCCACCTATTGTTACGAGTGTGAGGGCCTGCTCTGGGGCATTGCACGCCAAGGAATGCGGTGTACTGAGTGTGGAGTGAAATGCCATGAAAAGTGCCAAGACCTGCTCAATGCCGACTGCTTGCAAAGTGAGGATCCCCTTGCATGGTGGATTTGGGGACAGGAGGAAAAGGGTGTTGTTTGAAACCAAAATTGGGGGAAGAAATATCAGTTCTGTATGCTATGCTGACGGTAATTTATTGTTGTTGTTTGGTCACTAAGTCATGTCCAACTCTTTACAGTACCATAGCAATAGCACTTACACTTATATACCACTTCACGGTGCTTTACAGCCCTCTCTAAGCGGTTTTACAGAGTCAGCCTATTGCCCCCAACAATCTGGGTCCTCATTTTACACACCTTGGAAAGATGGAAAGCTGAGTCAACCTTGAGCTGGTGAGATTTGAACTGCTGAACTGCTGGCAACAGGCAGTCAGCAGAAGTAGCCTGCAGTACTGCATTCTAACTACTGCGCCACCACGGCTCTAGCATGCCAGATTCCACTGTCCTCCCCTGTCTCCCAGAGTCTGCCCAAATTCATGTTCATCGTGTCGATGATACTATCTAACCATCTCATCCTCTGCCGTCCCATTCTCCTTTTGCCTTTAGTCTTTCCCAATATCAGGGTCTTTGCCCATGAGTCCTCTCTTCTCATTTAGTGTCCAAAGTATCTTGAGCTTCAGCTTTAGCATCTGTCCTTCCAAAGAACAGTCAGGATTTCTTTAGGGTTGACTGATTTGATCTCCTTGCAGTCCAAGGGACTTTCAAGAGTCTTCTCCAGCACAACAATTTGAAAGCAGCTGATGATGGTAATATTTTGCATCAAAAATGCAAAGGATCTGTAAGCTCTAGTAATAAAAGTCAAGGAACCCAATGAAAAAATGGGACTAAAATCTAAAGAAAGCCAAATTAATGAGCATAGACACACCAACCAGCCTTAGTACTAATAGTGAAGATATTGAAGTGATAGATAGCTCCCACCTCTTAGGATCAACCATCAAGAGTAAAAGGACAAGCAGTAAGAAATATGCCACGACTGACTTGGAAGAGGTGTTCAGATGGTACAATATGTATACCTACAAAGATCAGAATAGGGCAGATAATAGTGTTCACTTGACACAACAGAGAAATGAAAGTTGGACTTTGAGTAAACAGGATAGAAAGAGTATTGATGCTTTGGTGTTGGGAAAAGAAAACTTCTGAGAATACAGAGAACAGCCAAGGAAATAAACAAATGGATCATCAAACAAATCAACCCAGAGTTCTCACTGACCAGGCTCAATTTATTGTACTTCAGACATACAGTACGTAAATATCCAGCTCTCTAGAGGTTTGAATGTTGGGAAAGATGGAAGGAAAGGGATGAAGATAACCAGTAGCAAGCTAGATAGATATGGTTACAATGGTGATGGATGTACTATGGGAAGACCTAAAGAACCAGATTAGGGTCAGATCATCATGGAGAAAATCTATCTACGTAGTCACTAAAAGCCAACACCAATTTGATGGCATAAAGCAATCACTATAAGGAAGGTGAAGACAGAGCACTAATAGACTCAGAAATGAAATCTTCAAATTAAAATCAAATTGAAATGCATTACATAGTTATTTAGTTGCTGCATGCAGTTATTTATTTTCCCTCATGTTAAATGATACAATTCATTATCAAAATGAATTAAAGAAATGGAATTCCTCATATACAGATAGACAACATATGACATTTCTGATGCTCTGAACTTCAACGCCTAGCAAGCGGGGCCAGTAGTGAGAAATTCTCGGAGTATAGTTCAGTTGTAGGAATGTCTAGAGCACGGCCCTGGATTTAGATGAAAAGAGGCCCTAGGCTATTCCACTTATGAGGCCCTTTCACCTATAGTGAAAGTGTAATTTTAATTTTGCTAACAATTTGAATGTAGGCCCCCTCTTGATCTTGAGGCCCTAGGCTGAAGCCTAATTAGCCTATAGGAAAATCCGGCCCTGCTAGAGCAGGGATGTGAAACTCAAGGCCCATGGGCCGTATTCGACCCATGGAGTGCTTAGATCTGGCCCGCGGGTCCAGCCTGGAAACAGCGAAGGACCGGCCCGCGGTGCCTCTGTCAGTGTAAATGGATCTTGGGAGGGCCACGGGCGGCCCTCCCAGGCTGTTTTCAGCTGCGATGGCCTCCTGCAGCCCTCTGCCAGCAAAAATGGAGCAGTGTGGGGGAGGGGGGCACACGCAGTCCTCCTGAGCTCCATTTTCACTGGCAGAGGATTGCAGAAGGCCATCGTGGCCGAAAACAAAGCTCAGGAGCCCATTTTCACTGGCAGAGCGCTCGGGCCACCACAGGCATGCCCAACATGAGTGACGTCAAGATGGCCATGTCCCCCGCAGCCCCTCCGAGGTCAAACACAACCCTGATGCAGCCCTCAATAAAATTAAGTTTGACACCCCTGATTTAGAGTCTTACAGTTTGCCTACCCATGCTGTTATCAACAGAGATAACAAACAATAATGATAGTAACCACAATTATTGCATGTGAGGTTATCAATGCTATGTTTCTTCTGGTGCACAGGGGCAGCAGAGAAGAGTTCTAAACATGGGGCAGAAGATCGCACGCAGAATATTATTATGGTGCTGAAAGACCGTATGAAAATCCGGGAGCGGAATAAACCAGAAATCTTCGAGTTAATCCAGGAGATCTTTGCGGTGTCCAAGACCACCCACACCCAGCAGATGAAGGCAGTCAAGCAGAGCGTTCTGGATGGCACTTCAAAATGGTCGGCCAAGATCAGCATCACAGGTACCATGCCAATAACTTTCTGAACTTAGAATAACTTTATTGTCACTTTAAATGTACACTCAATGGCATACATTAAAATTAAATTTTGTTGCATACAGCTCTCAAAGGGTCACCACCTCCAATATACACTACATAAACATGGCCAATTTTTTTTTTTTTTTTTGCATATAACCCCATACCCACATATATTCTGGATTTCTTCTATGCAGGGGTATATGTAAGAACAGACCAGTCTATTAAGTTTTGTTTTGCTCCAATTCTCATTCTGCCAACCTTTTTTTTTTTTTGCCCCCATTTCTTCATCTATGTGATGTTCTCTTTATTTTCTTCAGTTTTTGAAGTACATGCTTTTTAATGTGTTATTTTCGAAACATTATTTGATGCACTTTTAATGTATTCATCTATAAAAGTAATTTTCTCTTTTATACTACCCTTGTGTAGATTTTTTCCCCACCAGTATTTGAATTTAGGTGAGCACTTTCTTTCTTCCCCATGGACTTTTTTTGTATGCTTTTTGTTGGGTATTCATAAAAGTGTATTATAAATGCCAAAAAAAGGAGACAATTCAAAAAAACGAGAATACTAAAGGACAATTGTCCTTGAATTAATTTGTAAGTTTAAGATCAATTTGAGCAAATGTCTCCCCATCTCTGGAGACACTTATGGACTGTGGAGACATCCGTGTTTAATTTATTTTGAGGAGGGTCAAGACCTAAAAGCATATAAAGCTGTTTTTCCCTGTTCACATTTTGGGATGGAAGGGATCTGTTATTTTTAGAGGAGTACTCAATAATGCTTGAGCTGCCTGAAGTTCTTGGTTCTCAGTTTAAACTTAAAGGTAGCATATGAATCAAACCAATAAATTAAGGCTAGCCATCTTTCACACAAGCGCCAGTGTGGTTAAGGCAGAAGACTAGAAACCAGGAGACTGTGAGTTCTAGTTCTACCTTTTGCATGAAGTCAGCTAAATGACTTTAGGATAGGCATACAGTCCTGTGAGGCAATGGGAAACCACTTTTGAAATCTTGCCAAAAATACTGCAGGGACTACGATAGTTTAGGCAGTTAGCCGGATCTGAAGGCATACATTTTAAAAAAATATTTCACAAATTGGCAAATGCATTGTTTTTATTCTAATCAACCTAGAAAAGAAAAATAAATGTTAAACTCTTTTTATGCCTATTATCTAACCCTAACTTTTTTTTCCATTTATTTTCTTTGTTCATGTGTTGCTTTTGTTGTTTTATTTTTTGGGGTGTGTGTGTTCTGGTATATGTCTATCTTTCCACCTAATCAACATGGTACTTGTGTGTGGCTTATGTATTTGTAGTTGTTTGTGCACAAGGCCTGCAGGCGAAGGATAAAACGGGCTCCAGTGACCCCTATGTAACCGTCCAGGTTGGAAAGACCAAAAAGAGAACAAAAACCATTTATGGAAATTTGAACCCCGTCTGGGAGGAAAACTTCCACTTGTAAGTGAATCATAAAGCATCTGCCTCTAAGGCATTTGGATGGGAATGCTACAGGACCTCCTTAACTGACATACAAATTCACACCAGCAGGCTAAGAGTTGGATCTGATATCCTTTAGCAGCAGCAGAATGTGACTAAAGAGGTACAAGATGTTCAGCAATGTTCTACTTTCCATTCCAAACATTGTTCTGATGTAATGGTAGGTTGGAAAGACTGAGAGAGACTGGGAAGAGACACTGGCAAGGGAATAGTCAAATAAAAGAGAGCGTAGCCCATAACTGGATAGTGGGTGGAGGAAGAAGAGACCTATCCCTAGTTTCTTAGGATGAAAGAAGACAGCGAGGGGGGTTGTTTTTTCAGGCTTGTAAGATTCTGTCAATGTAGCTTTACAATCAAGTCCCTTCCACACCAGTCAGTTAGAACTGTAGAAGCTTCTTGGATGAGAAGCAAAATGTTTTCAAAAAAACCAAGAAAGCCCAGTTGCCTTTTGGAAAAAAGCACCTTTGGGACAACCATGACCTGAATGATTGAGACTCTCCATAGACATAATAAAGTAGAGTTAGCTTATCTGGTTATGATTCCTACCTGATTTACCCCACAAGGTGGATACCCGAGAATTGCTTAGCTCTGACTTCTACGCTTCCAAGCTAAAACTTTTACTTGATCCAGTGGAGTATATTCTTGGAGCTAGAGGATAAATTTCAATGCCAAAATCTCTCTTGTCCCCTTCCTAACCACAAAACATGTCTCATGATTTTGAGGCAGGAATCAGAAATTACAAGCTAATAGCTATTACAGCCTTCTTTCTTCCACACCTCAAATATATTTATTGTAGCCTGCAGGCACCAAATATCCGGAATTCAGATTACCTTAGAAGTAGGTAGGGTCAGAACTCTTTTGGCTCTTAGAAATCAAAAAGCTGCTTTTCCAAGAATGTGGGATTACTGCCTTATTTCTGGAACTGAAACTTATTTAGTTAGCAATAACAGCTGTTGGAGAGAGTCATTCCTGTGTATCAAGACATTATGGACAGTTTAGTTATTGCTTTATATATCTGTTGCAGAGAAACATTCCTGAATTTTCTCAAGGGAGAAGATTGAAGAAAGATTTCCCTTCTACCCCCAATTTGGGCTTTTATCTTTTTTCCCCCTTTCCAGTTACTTTAATGAAGGCTTGTGTAAGACTCACTGCCCACAGAGTACAGGAATAATTGATAATTGTAGTAGAATTTTTTGCATGGCAGGTAGGTGACCACCCTTTCCATCTCTGCTGGTGGATCTCCAGAATATCTCCTCAGTTACTGCCTGTTTTCCCAAAAATTAAAGATTAATTAAAAAGTCTACTTACAGTTAAAAATTAATAATTTGCCTGGCAAATTAATGAATAATGTAAATTCATAATGTACATAATTCCATAATGTAAATGGATTTTTAATTAAAGAAAACATTGATTAAAATACTAAACTATGCAGAGCTAGAAATGAAGATAAATGGAGGGAGGGAGGGGGAATATAATTAATGTTGAGGATAAAGAGATCTTGCAAGGAAATGTGTAATGGCCTTAGTAATTACAAGGTCTCCTGTAGGTTCTAGGAGTCACTGAATCACTTGCCCTTCCGTTAGTAACTATGTCTCCTCTCATAGTGACAGCTTCTATTTATTACTTCACCTCTTTTCCCAATTTCCTCCACGACCAGTGAGTGTCATAACTCCTCCGATCGAATTAAGGTTCGGGTATGGGATGAAGACGATGACATCAAGTCTAGGGTAAAACAACGCTTCAAGAGGGAATCTGATGACTTCCTGGGTCAGACAATCATTGAAGTGCGGACACTGAGTGGAGAAATGGATGTCTGGTACAATCTGGGTAAGCAGTCATCCAGCCTCAACAGGGACACATATTTATGGGCAGCTTTACATCTCAATGAGTCATAAGCATCCGTAAGGCAGACCATTTCTTCAGAAAAGAGACCTAGATTTATTCACTGTCTCTATATTAGCAATATGTTCAGTCTGACATACAAAATCTAGATCTGGTAGTTGGCCATTGACCTCCCAGATAAAAACCTCAAGGAGGCCAGTTTTGCAGTGAACCCCACACAGACCTATCAGCTTTAGCAGATCAGTAAGAAAATTGACAATTTACTCTGAAGAATATTGGAGTGAATCATTTGCTTTGACAAAAGGTGGAACTAAAGTAACTCCGGATAAATCCTTGGAACAATTTGACTGCTCCTAAAATCTACAAGGGTGGAGGTGGGGGTGCGGTGGAGACTATTGCTAGTATTCCTACTTTTATAGGCCTTTTAGAGGCATCACACTGTATCGTCTCAACTAGCTGGATTCACTTATATTCTTGCTTATTCTGGGATATTCATCCAGACTTCATTAAAAAGAAAAATCCCCTTTCCCTCATCAATCCTGTAAATAACTGTACCAATCTTCTCTCCCCATCCCTGACTTGTTTCAGACAAGCGAACAGATAAGTCAGCTGTATCCGGAGCTATCCGATTGCACATTAGTGTGGAGATCAAAGGAGAGGAGAAAGTGGCACCTTATCATGTGCAGTACACCTGCCTTCATGAAGTGAGTGAAAAGGCACATAGAAATTCACCATATCACAAATTTTTGTGATATGGTGCACAGGTCCCAGCCCTATATGCAAATATACTGAGAAGTGCAGGGAGCCATCTCATCCTGCTACAGAACTGGGCTGAAGTGTAATGGTTGGTTCCCAGAGTGACAAAGGTTCATGAAACCAATAATATAAGAGTCAACTGAGCTGAAATGGGCAGCTATAGAAATTAAATAAATAAATAAGCAAGCAAGCTGCAGACTCCCCACTGACAGTTAAGTGACCTGCCTCCTCAGAGGCACAGGAAGGCTGTTAGGAAAAGATCTTAGAGGTCTTCTAGTCCAAGGTTGAACCAACAGTTTAAAAAGCTACCAGTTCCTCTGAACCGGTATTTCCGATGATTAGCTGTGCAGTGCAGTTTAGCTTTGCTAGAAAGCAGGAAATCCTGCTTTCTAGCGAAGCTAAATCATGCACCACAGCTGATCCCCCCCTCGCTTCTACTTACCTTCCCAAGTCTCCTTTTAGTGTGTACTGCGCATGCGCGCATGTGTGCCAGCGCATGTGCGGCCAGCGAACTGGTAGCAAACCGGTTTGGATTTCACCACTGGACACACCCTAGTAGTAGGCCGGGCATTGGGGACCCCTGTTCTAGTTCAACCCCCTGGTCAAGCAGGAGACCTTATATTATTCTGGACAAATGGCTGTCCAATCTTTTCTTAAAAACTTCCAATGATGGAGCACCAATAACTTCTAAAGGCAAGCCATTCCACTTGAAGTAGTTGCTGAAGAGCCTGACAAGTGTTTGCTAAAAAAAAAAAAAACATCTCATTCCATAAAACATTATTTCTGTTCCTAAGGAAAGTAAATCTACTTATGGATATGATGCCTATCTGAGCGCAATGGTTTTGCTGAGTTCTTCTCAAGATAATATCAATATTAGATAAAGTTAATACTTTAATTCCCACAATGGATGACTGGCTGGAAAAACTGATGGAATTAGTAGAGATGGCTAAATTGACTGCCCTAATCAAATAAAAGAATACAGTTAACTTTGTTTCCACTTGGAAACCACTTCTGGACTTTGTGCTTGAGGTGGGGGAAAAAATGAAACTTTGATTTTGGTTTTGCTGGTTAGATAGGTTAGTTGTTATAGAAGTGGCTACTATGTATTACAGTATTACACAAAAGTTTAAAAAAATTAAGCTGTATGTTATTCTTATTCTACTGTGCTAAAAAGAGTCAGACATCAATGCTTTTCTTTCATTTCCTCCTTTTAGCCTACACTTTTTCCTCTTCTCTTTTTCCTTCCATTTTCCCTTTATTTTCATTTTTCTTTGTATTTAATATTTTGATAAACTAATAAAAAATTTTGAACAAAAAAAAAATAGCAATGTTCTGTTGACCTCGATACAAACCACTTTTCTTTCTTGATCCCCTCAGTCATGGGAGTTTTCTGATTTAATTTTATTTCTTCTCTAAATCACTTTTAGAACCTATTCCATTTTGTGACGGATATCCAAAACAACGGTGTCGTCAAAATCCCAGATGCAAAAGGGGACGATGCTTGGAAAGTATATTTTGACGAAACTGCCCAGGAGATTGTGGATGAGTTTGCTATGAGATACGGAGTAGAGTCCATCTATCAGGCTATGACGTGAGTATCTGTAATTCAGGACAGACTATATTTATCTTGGATCTCAGAACATCAGTATTCCAGAGATTCGAAGGCAGGGCTTCTGCATCCTTCCTGTTTAAGAAATGTTGATAAAATTCTTTACACACACACACACACACATACACACACACACATCAACATCATTATATGAACAGTGAGGCATCTGGGTATCATTCATTTAAATACAAATAATAATAGTAATATTAATAATATTTGTTACATTAATCATACTTACGTAATTGTGGTGTTATTATACATATTTGTATTAGAGTGTGTTCCTTCATTGTTTAGTTGTTCAGTGTTTTGTGTACCTATTCATATATTCATATATTCATATATTCATGCACATATTCTAATAACAATCACAATATTATTTAAACATACATAGTGATACCATCTTTCAACATCTAATCTTTACAGCTAGCTATTACTTTTAGTATATTATATAAAAATATGTATAATAATATTCCTCTTTGATCTTGTTTCTACCTCTATTCTAGCTCTCAATAAAGCCAATTTTATATTAAACAGTATTCCCTTACTAACCATAATCTCTTGCCTGCTTTAGTATTTCAATTCTTATTCATTTTTTGACTTGCCTCTCAAACTCCTCTCTTGGTCTTTGTCTCTGTCTACCTATTTCCTATTTAACCCAAATATTTCTTCCATGTCTACTATCTTTTGCTGCCGTACCTCCAGAGGATCTGCCCAAGCCCCTATCTTCTCTTCAAAAATACCTTTCTTTTTATCTAATCCCACTTTTTGATCTCTTAATATATATTGTCTCTTATTTGATTTATGTCTTTATTGTCTTCTCCTTCTCTTCTTGTTTTATTTTTTGATTTATCTGTTCTGTCTTTTCCTCTAGTCTTTCTATTATCTCCTCCATTTCCTGTGTTTTATGATCTTCATTCACTGTACCTTGTTGAACATTTTCTGATTTCCACACAATGTCATGCATTAAGTCTTTTATCTCCCTGTGGTTCTTTATCAACATATCTTAAGTACTTTTGAGCATCAACACCATTTCTTTTTGAAATCCATTCATCTCCCCCTGATGCAACATCTTGTCTTATTTTGATAGGTCCAAATATTGCTCAATAGCCTGTCAGTAGTCTGTCACCGTTCCAAGGTCTCAATTGTCTATGATCTCAGAAAGCCAGCATAGAAACTGTTTTCTCAATCCTAGCGTTGCTCCTCAGGGGAATGCAATAGTTATAGTTCTTTGTATCCCAAAGTTAGTCAATTAGTTCCATTTATGTAATCCAGGAAGATTTCCAAATGTCTCCTTAAGTCCACTCTATAAATTCAGTCCTAGATCCTGGCATTTAAAAGTCACTTTCTTTAGATGTCTTCAATAATCTCACAGTTAAATTTCCAATAACCATGAAGTAAACGGATATAGAACAGTAGATAGCACAGCAGTCCTCCAGGTGTTATTTATTTCCATTTCCCCCCCCCCTTTGTCTTATCAGTACTTCCCAAGGTTGTAGGAGTTTAGTATATATTCCATTCACCAGTAGATGGCGCCTTCAGCTTAAATTTCAATGTTGCACAAAATCTGACAAAGATTTATTTCAGTTTTTTGCAAATAGTCAATATTCAGATAAATAATTCCAGCATTTTAAAATGTCTTGCCAAAATATTGCCAATAAAGTTTTAAAATCCAGTCTTCCTATATTTTAAAGATTTTGCACTCTCCCTTTAGTTCCTTTTCTTTCAGGTCTATAATTTTTCTCTCTGTAATATTCACCGCTTTGACAAAGAGTCTCTTTTCCAGGGTTTATTTTCTTTGGGGTTAGGTTCTAGGGATAAAAAGAATCACCTCACCCAGTTCCAATCACTGTTCATTTACACCGCTCCAGCACATTCTTTGTTTCTTTGGATGCCCCAGCCATAATGGCTGCCATTCCTCTTCATCGTTGGATGGGAGGGAATCCCTGGGTACAGCTGGAGAGCTGCCGCTCTCTGCAACCTGCAGGGTGCCCCTCCTTTCTTCGTCACCCCTACAGGGTGACTTTAGCCCCTTGGGGGGCCCTCCAACGAGGAGGATTTGGCATGAGTTCGCGGAGCCCTGCTCCTCATGTCCAATCTCGCCGCGACATCAAACCCGACTTGATAAAATTCTTACATATAGAGAATCATTACTTGGGCATGGTGACCAAACATATGTAGAGTTATTCATTAAAGAATCTCAGGTTGCAGTTTAGGTGGATGTCCTTTTACAGCAGGGGTGAACATCTATGGCACCTTTACCGTGCTGGCTCAGAAATTCTGGGAGTTGAAGTTCGCAGGTTGTAAAGGTGCTATAGTTGCCCATCCCTGTTCTACAGGGATCTTGCAGATCAAAAATTGTGAGTGGAGAGACAATACAAAGATGTAAAGAAAGCAACACCAGCAGTGGTTGTAAGTCCAGTGCAAAGAACTGCAGAGGTGATTTTGGAGAAAGAATGTGGCAGTTCGTGAAATATAAATTAAGCCCAAGACTGGAAAGGCATGTTAGAAAGAAACATGACTGCATCTTGATTCTCTTTGGTACAATGGGGAGGAAAGGGAAAACATGGTCAGCTTCCAACATTCTGTTTTTATACATTATAACAATAAAAATATACTTCCAGCAGTCTTTGTGATATTTGTTTCCTGAACTGGTTTACCTCAAAGAGCTAAATGCACAGTGATAATTGTTTTGTGACCGTGAACCCAAAATTCTGTAACAGTGAACTCAAAATTTCCTTAAAATGCCATATGTATCTACCAACCCCAAACTGTTCCTACCTCTGGCTTTGAAACTACCTGAAATTTCCTTTTTCTCTGTATTTCTATGCTGCAGGCACTTTGCCTGCCTTTCCTCAAAATACATGTGCCCAGGGGTGCCTGCTGTAATGAGTACTTTATTGGCCAACATTAATGCTTATTATGCACATACCACTGCCTCCACCAATGTCTCTGCCTCTGACCGTTTTGCCGCTTCCAATTTCGGGGTAAGTCCGATGGTGCGTAGAACACTCATTTCTTACTTTTACTCTTTGCTTTTTTCCTGGGGGGTGCATGATGACAGAGGGAGTGGCCTGGTGAAAAAGGACACCTGATTCTTTGTGTGCAGCCACTCACTCAACCCCAGAAGAAATTATGTGGGGAAAAAACTCTCACAGCCTTATCAGATGATTTCTAGGGAATCATTTGATGTCCTGGGGTTGGTGGTGGTATTTATGCTGCACATACCTCGCCAATAGAAAGAGGGAACATGTTTGCCCAACCTACATAAGTCAACACAGAGGTTGGTAAACTATGGTTCAATGTGAGCAAGAACAACTCAAACAGGGTGGGATTTAATAGCGAAAACAATTGGCAGGGGAGGGATTACTGGAAAAATATAGCCAATCCTGTGGTGCCTTTTTCCTAGAGCCCTCCCATAGCAGTGGTCACAACCTGAAACCAGGTCAAAGCTCCCTGGTTTAATGGTTCTAGACTTCCAAATAATTAGGGCAGCTTTCCTTCCTTCCTTCCTTCCTTCCTTCCTTCCTTCCTTCCTTCCTTCCTTCCTTCCTCACTCCCTCACTCCCTCACTCCCATTTCCATTAAACCTTCCTTCCTCTCCTCTCTAATCTTTACTCCCTTCCATTTCCTCTCCCCTCCCCTCCCCTCCTCTCCTCTCTCCCCTCTCCTCTCACCTCCTCTCCTTTAATCTCCCCCCTCTTCCCTCTCCTCTCCTTTCATCTCCTCTCCCCTCCCCTCCAGTGCCCTCTCCCCTCCTCTCCTTTCTCCCCTCCCCTCTCCTCTCCTCTCCCCTCTCCTTTCCCCTTCCCTCTCCTCTCCCCTTCCCTCTCCCCTCTCCTCTCCCCTCCTCCCTCCCCTCCCCTCTCCCCTCATCTCCTTTAATCTCCCCTCCTCACCCCTCCTCTCCCCTCTCCTCTCCTTTCATCTCCCCTCCTTTCCCCTCTCCCCTCCTCTCCTCTCTCCCCTCCCCTCTCCTCTCCTCCCCTTTCATTTCCCCTCCTCTCCCCTTCTTTCCCTTCCCCTCCCTTCCCGTCTCCCACCTCCTCTCCTTTAATCTGCCCTTCCCTCCCCTCTCCCCCTCCCCTTCACTCTCCTCCCCTCTCCCCTCCCCCTTAAACCTTCCCTCCTCTCCCCTCCTCTCTAATCTTTACGCCCTCCCTCCCATTTCCTCTCCCCTCCCCTTCCTTCTTCCCTCCTCTCCCTTCCCCTCTCCTCTCTCCCCTCCCCTCCCTCCTCTCCTCTCCCCCTTCCCTCCCCTCACCTCTCCCCACCTCTCCCCTCCCCTCTCCCCCCTGCCCTCTCCTCTTTCCTCTCTTCCCCTCTCCCCTGCTCCCTTTCTTACCAAACAGTTTATTTAACTCACTGTCCAAAAACCAAAAAGTAGTACATGTGCTTCCTTCACCCATATTATCCCTATAAGAATCCTGAAAGTCACCAAATATTCAGAGTGACTGAATACTAGGAAGCTTTGGGAATGAGAACAAAATCTGAACTTGGATCTCTTCTACAGCTAGCCCAGTTTCACTGATCTCAAAACACTAACCATGCCAGACCTGGTTACTACTGTATGTGGGTGGAAGACCACCAGCATATTCCAAGGCATAATATTGTAATGGGTTGTGAGAGTGACTTTGAGAAAAATGAGGAAGAACTATTCAGAGTTGCAAGATTGATGTCAGCCCTTCAAGACAGACCAGGCCTGGACTCCAAAGTATGAATACTAAAACTACCTTTATTATAGGGCTACACCAGCAGTTTCTTGCCATTCTGAACGTGCCACCCTCTCCGCCTTTATCCTAGAGACAATGCAATTGTACGCCACCCATGTCACCCTGGGCAGTGAGATGGGTTGCATATATATAAATTAAACAAATAAATAAAGTTGCGAAGGTAAATTCTGGGACACTTTCTCCATTCCCATTCCTAAGTCTATCTGGATTCAGATTTCTCTTATCTGACTATTGCCTTAGCTGTGGTTCTTCTTCGAGGTCATTCTCACAGCCCATTACACACATAGACTGGAAAGTCAAAATAACAATCAGTCAGTCTAGAAATTCCAGATGTTAAGCTTTCCAGAAACACCTGGATGAAGCCCTAAGAAGCAGTCCTGGCCTACATCCATCTTTGGTCTCCCTTGGAAAGCTCTTAAGCCAGCAGGGTTTGGAGTCACCTAGCTGCAGCTAAGCATATCTGAACTCCGCTGAAGGCCAGGTGTTAGATTGCCTAGACATTTCTCTGCGTGCCATGTTGTGTTCCACGATGAAAGAAAAAAGCATAATACGAAAGATATAATCGTAGCTTCTAGAGGTTAACAGTAGGGGTTTGCAACCATTCGTACTTCGTATTCTGACAATGAAAACTTGGGTTTTGAGAGATGGGTTAAGAATGCAGAAGACTTTACTATTGTTTTTTTTTAAGAGTGGTGATCTGCATAGTCCTGAGAGTCCTTCTCTTTATATACAGATGTACAAACCAACTACTAAACCAGGAAGGCTTTCAAATGGTGACAGGATGTTGTCTGAAAGAGATGCGGCCGAGCCCCCCAAATTAAAATGTTTAAAAAGCAAGGCCATTTTGGAGATCACTTCCCTCAGAGCAACCATACCATACTTGTAGTTTACCTCCCCATAGGCAAGTTTCTGTGGGTAACGTCCCTAAATAGTGATGTCTGGAAGTATTATAAAGATTAGCAAGTAGCCATATAATAAATGAAGGGCCTCCAGGGCCTGGTTAGGTATAGGAATATGTTGTGGGGTCATAGACTGGAGAATTAAACCTTGAAGGATCCTATCCTTGCTATCTTCTGTCCCTCATAGAAAAGCAAAGATTTGTCCAAAAAAAGAAGCTCCAATATTGAATAGGAATGGCGTTTCCCAGTGAAAAGGTTTTTAAAAACGTCACAAACAGGCAGAGATTTAATTGTACCATCATGGCTGCCAATGTGATTTTCAGAGGGGGGTTGACTTTGTTTTATTAACAAAGATCAGGTGATGATGCCATCGGAAGGGCTGGGGCTGAAAACCTTCCACCCTTCTTTTGTTGACTGCAGGATCTTAGGCAGGTTTTAAAAGTGGGCATGGGAGCATTTCCTCCCCTGGAGCCCCTGTCTTCCCATTCCCCTCTATAAAATGCCCCTAAATCTCAATTAAGCAGATGGGATGCTGGGGGCTGCCTCCAACTCTCAACCACTGCGCCACTGTGGCTCTAATTAATGCTTTAATTTAGCTTTGATGTAATATACCTTTGTAATCTGAAAACTAGAAAACCGTATAAAACATAGCAACTGGGAGCAAACTCTTCATCAAAATGGATGCAGATTTCCACTCTGCATCTGAAGTCCTGCTTCAAAAGATTAAGACCCCAACTAGGCCCTCTACTTGTGTATGTGTGTGTGTGTGTGTGTGTGTGTGTGTGTGTGTGGTGGTGGTGGTAGGTTGGATTCATCTAGTGAGGTCCTTACATGTTTGCCCTGGGGGAAGTGACCTTGAGCTGTGGTCTCTTTCAGATGACAAATGCCATTATGTTTTTTACCTTTTCTAAAGCGTCTCTAAAATGCATCTTCTCTCTCTCTCTCTCTCTCTTGTGCACTTTAAAAAAATCAGCTAACAGAGGCTTGTTCACACACTGTTCGAAGCCAGTGTGACTTCTAACTTCACGGCTTCGTCTGACCTCATCATGTTCCCTAAATTGGGAGTCTCCAAATTTGGCAGCTTTAAGGCTTGACGATTTCAACTCCCAGAATTTCTCAGCTAACCAAGCTGGCTGGGGAATTCTGGAAGATAAAATCCACAAGTCTGAAAGTTGCCACGTTTGGAGACTCCTGCTCTAAATAAACAGTTTCCATCACCGAACGTGAAACTGTTATGGACTAATCAGCCCAAACAACAAAGTTCGCACATTTTCGGATGGGGCAGGGAGAAAGGGAACCCAACCTCTTCTCATCGTGAGGGAGATGTGTCTTAACAAGCCTCTGGATGTGCTTCTTTACATAGCCAGTTTTGTCCTCTGGTTAAGGTCTGTGTGGGCCTCTTTCCGTTTATGTGTCTTGAGTCACCGCTGCAAAAAGTCGTATTGTTTTGATAAAGCAAATGTTAGGTTGTGTACAAATCTTGTTTCTTTCTTCTTTTTTTCCTCTCAGAGAGCCTAAAAATTGGGTGTTTCCCTCCCCCCCAAAAAACCAGACTGTGTCGCTTTAACCCTCTGTGTGCCGTGGCCGGTGCTAAGGCGTGCTACGGAGCCTATGTTTGCCGGATGCGCATCTGTGCTCTTTTTTTTGCAAGGATCGCTTCTCGTTGTCTCTTGTGCCTTAGGGCTAGGGGAAGAGGCAGGACAGGGGAGGGGGAGACAGGGAGGGAGGGAGGGAAAGAGGGGGCTGGTGGGGGTGGGAAAAACATCCTGGAAGGGGAGAGCCAGAAATGCATGATTGCAGAGACCAGGTTGGGATGAGGTTGGGGTGGGGGGAGAGGGAGTTTGGGAGAGCTGTGAAGCAAGTATAGCGGGCTAGTTAGGAGACTCTAGGAAGGTAGCTGTATATTTTTAAATGGAGATTGTAACAGACACACACAAGGCCATCACTATGCACAAAAGACATCCTTTACAACATTAAAGAAAAAATCATACATGGAGTAAAGACGTCATGTCAGATTTTCTGAAAGCAAGTATGGTTCCCTTAAAATCCCTTAATTATTTCATCCAAGGAGGAATTTCCCAAAGGCATTGAAATGCTACCATGGGAAATGATTAATTGGTGTGTCAGGGTGTCCACTGCAGAGAATTCAAAAATACTGATGAAGGCAGTTGTGATGCATGTAAAAAAGGGGCTGGGTTTCAGCTCCATGGGCAGGGCTGCCATTTTGACTTTTTTGACCCCTCTGCAGATGTCCCTCCTTCTGTTGACATTGGCTACTCCATATTTTCCAGCACAAGGCCTAGCAAGGAACAGATTCATTTCAGACGCTGAACTCAGCCACTTTCTTAACCAATGAAAGAAATTAAACTCTGAGAAGCTTTTAAACTGCTCTTTATTTGAATTTCTTCCCAAATCTTTGTTTTAAAAATAATAAAATAATAATCATAATCATCATCATCATCATCATCATCATCATCATCTTCCATCGTACGGTGATATTTGTAACACCGTCAAACATCCAGATTTGCCTATCCAAGGTCCTTGGTAAGGACTTGATAAGTAGACAAAAATGCCAAACCCAGTCTGAACATCTGGCTGACTGTGCAAATAGTAGTAGTAGTAGTAGTAGTAGTAGTAGTAGTAGTAGTAAACTGAGCTACTCGGAACATCATATATTTTAAGAAGATACTTGGTTGATACCTAGGACCCTGGCAGCAACCTGTATCAACCATTAGCACCAGTCAATTGTATTTGTGACACATTTTTAAATGTTCAGTTGACTGAGTTTCATGTGTAATGAATAAAAGAAATAATAATAATAATAATAATAATAATAATAATAATAATAATAATAATAATAATAATAATATGCACTACAACATGAAGTCACAGCTGCCAATTCTTTAGCTGGTACAAAAATATTAATTATTATTGCTATTATTTTGGTACATTTAAATGTTCTGGTTTTAGTTGTTGGATGAAATTGATACCTGAAGAGTCTATTGCGCTAACTTTCTGTTTTGGTTTTGGTTTTTACATTCCTAATTTCATGGGTAATTTACTTCAGCTTTCAGTTTCTTTAGGTTTTTGTCACTGCAGGACACTTATATGTATATCTGAGGTGATACATTTAAGCCTCATCATTTTTCATAAGTAAAATGACACATAAAATAAATCCATGTGCAACTGTTCCACCCACACATAAGTTATTTTAAACTGTGTCAGAAAGCCCCACTGTTGAATCAAGATTATTTTTCTCTAGTACTATACTGATTCTCCACAATATGCTTATGCGTCAAATCAAACATTAAATAAAATGATTTATCATGCAGCCATTGTATAGGTAGTCCTCACTTAACAACTGGTTGTTTAACTATCATTCAACATTGTTCTTCTAGAACTGTCTGGTTTGGCACAACAACCAAACAGGACAGGTACAGACCAGGGGTGGGTTCTAAATTTTTTTACTACCAATTCTGTGAGTGTGGCTTATTTTGTGGGTGTGGCTTGGAGGTCATGTGACTAGGTGGGTGTGGCTAGCTGGTCAGAGTCATTTCTGGAAGGTCCTCGCACTTACGACCAGTCCTCGCACTTACGACCTGACTCATTTGTTTGCTTTTAACACTGATCAGCTGTAGGAAGGCCCTTTGAAGCCCCGTGGCAAGAGTTTAAACAGGTTTTTTCCCTCTAGTCATCAGCTGGGACTCAGGAGGCAGCAATAGATTGGGGGTGGGACCAAATAAAAGGTAAGAATAACATGGGGGGGTGGGGGGGCGGGGGGGAGAACCGGTTCAGTGACGTCATATCGTCACCGCTACCGGCTCGGCCGAACCGGACCGGAAGGAAGGAACCCACCACTGGTACAGACTTCAATGGATAGTTAGGCCTGCAGAAAATAAAAACAATTGCAACCAGCCTGCCTTCCATTGAAGACCTGTATACTGCATGGGTCAGAAAGAGAGCTGAGAAAATATCTACAGACCCCCTCACATCCTGGAAGGCAGAAGGGAAGGAGTTTCAACTCCTCCCCTCGGGCATTGCATGGCAGGGCATTGCATGCCAAAACAACTAGACATAAAGGTAGTTTTTTTCCTTTGTGCCATTGCTCTGCTGAACACCTAATTCCCACAGCACTGTCTGATGTCTAAGGATATTTGCCCATATAGTGGGGCTGTATTGCTATTATCCTTCCCATCAGTGGTGAGTTTCAATTTTTTTTTACTACCGGTTATTTGGGTGTGGCTTGGTGGGCGTGGCATGGCTTGGTGGGTGTGGCTTGGTAGGCATGGCAGGGAAAGGATACTGTAAAATCTCCATTCCCACCCCACTCCAGGGAAAGGATACTGTAAAATCTCCATTCCCTCCCCACTCCAGGGAAAGGATACTGTAAAATCTCCATTCCCTCCCCAATCCAGGGGAAGGTTACTGCAAAATCTCCATTTCCTCCCGTTTAGCTGGGACTTGGGAGGCAAAGGATAGATGGGGGCGATTTACTTCCGATTCTCTGAACTACTCAAAATTTCCGCTACTGGTTCTCCAGAACTGGTCAGAACCTGCTGAAACCCACCTCTGCTTCCCATCTTCCGTACTACCTTCTCCAATTAGTATCTTATGATTATATTACTTTGTTGTTTGTATGTATACTGATAGCTTATGCACCAGAGACAAATTCCTTGTGTGTCCAATCGCACTTGGCCAGTAAAGAATATTCCATTCCATTCCATTCCATTCCATTCTGTTCATTGTAACCAACTCCCAAAAAGTTACTTACAATCCATCCTTAAAGTTATAAGTGCCATACCACACCCATAGTTATGTGATTGCATTTTGGGTGCTTCACAACTGGCTTGCACTTACGACCAGTTGCGGCATTCAACACTCACATGAATGTTGATTTGCAATGCTTTTGCCAGTTTCTGATTTAAAAAAATTCCCCATTTGAGAGAATGAATTCATGTGATAACCACATAATTCATGTAATGACTGCAGTGACTCACGTTACAATTTTTGTAAAAAATTGGTCATAAAATCACATTAGATCACATGGTGATCCATTTAATGATCATAAAGACTTTTCATAATTCTGTCATGGTTGTTAAGTGAGGACTACCCGAATTCTGTCATTTAAGTTTTCCCTCCCCCAATAGCTTAATGTGTATTAAAAATAACATTTATGCAGTAAAATGCACAGTTCCATCAAAATTGCTTTCCCTGCAACATTTTATCAATTAACCAGAGTAACATAGATGAAATGAAAACCCCACCAATGACCTCAAGAAGCTAAAGATATAACAAATCATCATTCAAATCAAAACTAAAATCAAATTGTAGCTGAAGAGCTTATAAATCAAATAAAGGAAGTACATTTTCATACATTTAACATAGAATAGCTTGTAAAATGTATTTATGATGGTAAATTGATATAACTCTAGGGAGAAGCTTTTGCTATAAAACCTCCTACCACTCGATCTTCCCTTGTTGTTTCATCAACACAGAGAACATATATTATTTGTTTTCACAGTTTATATTCTGCCTTTTTGCTTGTCAGGCAGTCAAGCCCACTGAGAATTTTAAAAACCCCATAAACATGAAATGCATTTCTAGTTCATCCCTTATGGGACTTCAGATGGTGGAGTTACATAAACCAGGGTTAAATTGTTAACAATGCCTATTCACTTCTATGCAATTGTAACATCAGGAGGGATGCTGGACCTGGGTTACCACACTTCCCCCCACTATCACCGTACTGTCAAATGTACTCCTGTGTTGTTGGAGTTTCTTTTCTCCCATAGAAGTGAATCAATGCTATCCTGACATAGGATCAAGAATAAGAGAATAGCTTCCAGCCCTGAGAAAGTCAAGCCTAAAAGACACAACAGAGGCAATGGCAAAATTGAGGATGGAGGCATAAATAAAGGAAAATATAGGATATTTCTATAGAAATATCTGGCGTTCTTAGCCATGGAAAGAATGATAAATTATCACAGAAATTACACTGAATAATTGGGTAAAAAAAAAAATGAGAGAGAGAGAGAATGCGGCTGACATCCCACCGACAAAGATCCCTGATACACAAACTGTCAGCATCTACACTTACAACACAATCCTAACATACACTTTTTCTCCACATGAGTCTTAATGGCGGGCATGGGTCTGGTTTCTTAATATCACTGAGCCATGTTAAAAAGAACAGTAAATGTGACTGTAGCCCGGTAGCCAGGAGGTTGGTTTGACATCAGCCTGGCAATTTGGCAAATGTTTCATTGCCGTGCGTGGCTATGCATGCCCAGTGTTATTAAGAAACACAGCATCAGCCGGGACTAGGCCTCGGAAAGCCAGAGGTGGAAGCGCAGGGAAACACAGTTAAAAGGATGGGAGTTAGCTTATGTGATTGGATTGGGGAAGACTGGGGTGCCCTAAGGGGTGGTTATTTTCTTAAAGGACTGTTTTGCTCTTTGCATGCAATGTCGCACCAATGCTAAGTCCCTTGTCTCCTCTGCTTTGCTCAAGAATCTTTGGGAACTGCGGTAGTAATGATGGCAGAAGCATCTTAATCAGGAAATCTTGTTCGATACACCCCAATAGATTGAATCAATCCTAGTCAGGTATTAGAAGTTGGGACCAGAGTGGGCAATCTTTCCCAGGATTCCAGATATCAGCAAAGAAGAAATTTGGGGCTACAGGTTGCCCATCCCTGGATTAAAGAATCAAATCTGATTTTCCTTTTTTTTCCTCTCTGCAAAAAAAACAGAACAAAGTTCTGTAGCTTATTACTGTAGCAGTGAGCACTTACAACAGCATCTTTAAGGTCAGATAGTCAAGTGGGATTGTTCCCCGATAAAAGCGGGCCCGATGCATAGGTTTTGCCAAGTTCACAGATCCAATTTCTTGGATCAAGGCATAAGCAGTTAAACCAGGATTCCATAAAGAGAGAACTGGGATTTCCAGTGGATTGCCATTTACTCCAAAATTTGGACCTCTTACTCTTTCTCTGTAAGTCTGCAACAAAACTGTAATTGTGTCTCAATCTGCAGTGCTCCTCATGAAAAGAAGATGGTAAGGGTAATTTGGAGGGAAGTGGGGGGAGGGGCAGTAGACTTCCAACTAATGTTCAAAAAAAGATAGGCCAAATAAGATCATTTGTAGGTGTCTTTTAGCTTTGCATCACTGAACCAATTCCCTGCCCTAAAGTTCAAGAATGGTTTCTTAATCTTCATTATATTAACTTGATAAAGCCTGAACCAAGTTCAAGACCAATGGTGGGGCAAGGAGGGAGGGGGTTCAAGGTCTCACTATTTTAACTTCATTCACCTGCTTTTGGGGCTCTCTCTTTTTGCAGAAAGAACGGTTTGTCAAACTGCTGGACCAGCTGCACAATTCCCTGAGGATCGATCTCTCAATGTATAGGGTAAGGAGGGGCATTTGCTTAGAACGGGGAAACAGGCAGATTCTTTGAGGTAATCTTGAAAAGAAACAAGTGTTTAGTCCTCTTTTGTTTATGTAGATAACAAGGAGCACAATATCTAAACATTAAACTTGCTCCCAGTTTTCTGGTTCATTTGTTCATTTACTTATTCATTCATTCATTTATTTATTTATTCATTCATTCATTCAACGTGTTTATATGGTTGCCTATCTCCAAAGGCACTCTGGGTGGTGTAGAAAGATAAATCAAAACCAAACTCACAATTCCATTAAAGAAAAATCTAGTTGAAGTGCCCCATTCAAATCTCAATAACAATCTAAAAAGCAGACCCACATACATATCAGAGCTCTGTTATTCTGTATTCTGCTAACTTCATGGCCTGAGTGCCTGGAGCATCATCAGGTCTTCACGGCCTTCCAGAAATCAAAGCTGTCCATATCTCAGAGGGGAAGTTGTTCTACAAAATAGGGGCTATGATAGAGGAGGCAAAAACTATCAGAGAGACATGGATCGAAAGTTAATCCATGCTGTCCAGGGAATTTGTAGAAAGTACAGAAAATGACCTTGAAAAAGTTAGGCAGTTCCATTCACAGAGCAACAAGGCAAGAGAGCAAGTTTGGTCTAGTGGTTAAGGCACTAGGCTAGAAATCAGGGGACTGTGAGTTCTAGTTCCCCTTAAAATATGAAAGCCAGCTGGGTGACTTTGGGACAGTTACTTTCTCAGCCCAACTCACCTCATAGGATGGGGAAAATAGGAGGAGGAAGGGATATTAGGTATATTTGCCACCTTGAGTTATTTATAAAAAATAATAAACGTGAAATTTAAAAAAAAATCTAAACTCAAGCCCAAAACAATCTGAGAAGAGGAAGAAATTAAAGAATCCTGACAGATGCTTTTTCCTGTTGCTAGTCAGGGTCAATTCAGTTTGCTGTGAAGATTTTTTTACAATAGCATTTTAAGCATTTCATATGTATGGGGGGTGGAGAATATCTCATCGATTTAGTAGTGAATAAAGCTCACAAGTGTATGGTGGGAAATCTTTTATCACCACCAATTCCAACACCCCCAGCAGTAGTAATTTCCCCTAGAGTGAGAACCAAATGTCTTTCCCATCCTTATCTTCTGTTGATATACAGTATACAGGATTGTCTTATTAAGAACAATAGTATTGCCAGAAAGTAGTCCATAAAGATTGGTACAAGCAGATTAAAGGCCGTGGTATGGAGTGTAGGTTCACAGATGAATGAAGACGTATCAAATGATGGCTGCAATTTCTCCTATTTCTCAGAATAATTTCCCTGCCAGCAGTCCTGAAAGACTGCAGGACCTTAAATCAACAGTGGACCTCTTGACCAGCATCACATTCTTTCGGATGAAGGTAAATCTCCAGTTCTCCCATCCTGGAAAGATGGAAGGCAATGTCATTTTGTGCTTCCTTAATTTCTGATATTACTTATTGTGTGATTTAATCTGATTTAGAGTTGTGCAAGAATAGCCCGTTCCATTGTTCCAAAGTTCCAGAAATAGCCCAACCAAATTCAGATCTCTCTGACTCTGAGCTCAAACCAGAGAGTGATTCAGAAAAATAGAAGTTTTACAGGACTATGCCTGTTGGGTCAAGAGATGTTCTTGGTAACTAAAATAATAGGATTGTTCACTTTCTGTTTTAAAAATCCAATGAAAGGGAGCCTACCACCTCCCTAGAGAAGCTTTTCCTTGCCAAGCTGTTCTTAATTTTAACATTAAAGTGAAATTTGCTTTTCCGTATTGTGTGTCCTGCACACTGAGTTGAAAGTTTATGTTTCCGGCGATACTCCTCCAGATATTTCATATCCCCCTCACATGTTTTTTCTCTGGGATAAACATAACCAATATCCTCAGTCTCTCCTTTTAAGATTTATTTTCCAATCATCCTTTACACCTCTTTTAGTCTGATGCTTCTTAAAGTAGGCACTATATTAATTAATGGCTTCTAATAACTGGCACCCTTTCTTATCGCTGTTTTGTGCAGGTCCAAGAGCTCCAGAGTCCACCACGAGCCAGTCAGGTGGTGAAGGATTGTGTGAAGGCCTGCCTCAACTCAACTTATGAATACATCTTCAATAACTGCCATGAACTCTATAGTCGTGAATACCAAACTGATCCTGTGAGTGGGTTGGCACTTTATTGCAGATGGCTTTGGCCATGTTGGCAACTTCAAATTTCGATTAATAAATACCCTTTCTTCATATTGGTAAACATAATCAAAATGTCAAGTATAAGCTAGGTGGTATTGGTCGAGCAGATGACTCTCACTTTGTTAAGGACCTAGGTGTACTTATCTCTGATGATTTATGCTCCAAACCTCACTGTAACAGTGTTGCTAAAAAGGCACTAAGAGTTATAAACTTAATTCTACGAAGCTTCTTTTCTGGAAACATTGTATTGCTAAGTAGAGCTTATAAAACTTACGCTAGACCAATCTTAGAGTACTGTTCAACTGTTTGGAATCCGTACCATATATCTGACATTTGTACAATCAAGCGGGTTCAGAAGTACTTTACGAGAAAAGTTTTGCACTCTTCTGTACATAATAGAATTCCTTATGCTACTAGGCTTGATATTCTTGGTTTGGATAACTTGGAACTGCGTCGCTTGCGGTCAAACTTAGGTATTTCATACAAAATTGTACGTACTAATGTTTTACCTGTAAATGACTTTTTCTATTTTAATCGCAATAATACAAACGTGAACAATTGCCTTAAACTCAATGTAAATCGTTCTAAACTTGACTGTAAAAAATACAGTTTTTGTAATAGACTTGTCAAAGTCTGGCATGCTCTACCTGATTCAGTTGTCTCAGGTACAAATTTTCACAGTTTTAGTCACAAATTGACTTCAGTGGACCTCACTTCATACTTAAGAGGTCTGTAGAGGGGGGCGTGCATAAGTGCACTAATGTGCCTATCGTCCCTGTCATTGTATTTTTATATTATTCCTGTTTTCGTTTCTGTTTGACAAATTACAATGAATAAATAAAAATAAAAATATTGACTGTGAAATATAGGGACTGGAGAAGTGATGAAAAGCATCACTTTGAGGAAGGCCTCTAATCTAATGATGCCCTACTCAGTTTTCATCTCTCCTTGATCTTCTGGTTTCTACAAGGGGACAGGATGAATTGGCTAAACTAATGTGTATTTTTTCCTCATTCCGCCTTCCCACCCAATCATCCTAGAGCAAAAAGAGTGAAGTGCCACCAGAGGAACAGGGTCCCAGCATCAAGAATCTAGACTTTTGGTCCAAACTTATAACCTTGATAGTATCAATCATTGAGGAAGATAAGAACTCATACACACCCTGCCTCAACCAGTGAGTACATACCAAGAGTGCTCAAAAGAGGGGGGGGGGGAATGCATGAATCATTAAGTTCCCGGTCTTTTAGCGGGATTAGGTACCTTAGTGAATTTTTCATGTTGACATGAAAGTGAAGTTCTGTCTTTGAATTCTTAACAGATTCCCTCAAGAGCTGAACGTTGGAAAGATCAGTGCAGAAGTTATGTGGAATCTTTTCGCTCAGGACATGAAGTATGCAATGGAAGGTGAGCCTTCTTGGGGTCTTAAGAAGAGGTTGCACTACTGATTCTTATAAAAACATTCTCATGTATCTTCTCCCTCCTTCCATGTTCTGTTGGGCTTCTGATCTTTCTGGACAAACTGGAATTGTACCAAACAATACACCCAGGTTAAATGCACATTAAAACATTTTCAGAGGAGACCATCCACCTTCCAATTCATTCACAGGTTTATATCCTTATCTCATTTCCTCCCTACCTCATAGCTATGTGCACTCCCCATCCACCCCCACTTTTCTTCTATTGCTTCCCACAATTTGCTTTTGGATCTTGTTTTATCTCTGGAGATAATTCTGCTTGGCTAACTCAGTACTCAGATCCTGAAAGCCTGTTGCAAGAATTGTGCACTCCCATCACTTCTTACTTCTTTCTCTTTCATTCTCTTCTTCTCTTCCACTGCTATGCAGAGCATGACAAACATCGGCTATGCAAGAGTGCTGACTATATGAACCTGCACTTTAAGGTGAAATGGTTATACAACGAATATGTCACAGATCTTCCTTCCTTCACCAGCCGGGTTCCTGAATACCCTGCGTAAGTCCGTTTGTTGTGTCCTCATCCTTAAACCTTGACTTTACTTACCATAACTTTGAAATTTCTGACCTTCCCAAACTTTAAGTATCTACCTCCAAGAAGATATTTAAAGTTTGGCAAGCTCAGAAATTTTCAAAGTACACTATCATTCCAAAACAACATTGAGTTGACTTTTGTAGTGTTGAGCAGAACCCATATGAGCATTATTCAAGATAAAAGATACACTAAAAGAATCAAAACACCACATTTCACAAAAATGGTAGAGTTACAAAATATAACTAGTAAAGGTTATACTCAACTTACGACCACAATTGAGCCCCAAATTTCTGTTGTTAAGTGAGACATTTGTTAAGTTCGTAACTTAAATTCGTAAAATTTGTAAAATCTCTGATCTCCGTGTGTTTCACTGTGCCCTCAAAACCATGTTGTTCCGCCAGGCTGGGCTATCAATGTAAAGATTTTAATTGGTTTTAAATGGGATTTTAAATTTGGGGTTTTATAAATTGGGCCTATTATTTAATAATTTTAATTATTTTTAAATTTTGTCTGTCTTTGTGTTTTTAATTAGGCTGTACACCGCCCTGAGTCCTTCGGGAGAAGGGCGGTATAGAAATTAAATAAATAAATAAATAAATAAATAAATAAATAAATAAATAAATAAATAAGTGAATTTTGCTCCATTTTCTGACCTTTCTTGCCACAGTTGGGTTTTTTTTAAACAAGTTTTATTAATTTTTTCCTTCACATACATATTTTATGAACAGAGTGTTGACCGGGTCACATCTTATACTTTGTATAACATAGTTATATATTGATTTTTATAATTTATTCCAATCTTTCTTTTTGTTTTTTCCAAGTACATTTTACATATCTCAATTTCAGCCATAATATTCTTTTTGCCACAGTTGTTTAAGTGAATCACTGCAGTTGTTAAGTTAGTGACACAGTTGTTAAGTGAATCTGGCTTCCCCATTGACTTTGCTTGTCAGAAGGTTGCAAATGAATAGAACAGAACAAAATAGAATAGAATAAAATAGAATAGAATTCTTTATTGTCCAAGTGTGATCTGACACACAAGGAATTTGGCTCTGGTGCATAAGCTTACAGTGTACATATAAATAGCAAGTAATAGGTCATATGTCAAATTGACCCCAGGACACTGCAACTATCATAAATATGAACCATGTGCCAAGTGTCCGAATTTTGATGACATGATCTCACAGACGCTACAATGGTCGTAAGTATGAAAAATGGTCTTCACTTTTTTCAATGCTGTTGTAACTTTGAATGGTCACTAAACAAAATGTTGTAAGTCAAAGGCTACCTGTACAAGGTATAACAGTGGAGAATTCTTAAAAATCAGTTCTTGCTTGGCAACTGCTTAAGGGTAGGAACTGTACATGTAAGGATCTAAGGGCAGGCCTCAGGACAGGCCTCATATTCTGCCTTTTCCAGATCCTATCCATTTCTCCAGACCAAGCCATTCAGTGGCCCCACTTCAAATTATTCAAATTGTTTATTTGGTTCTGTTTTATCTCCCAGCATGCACTGAGCTTCAGAAGAATATTCTTTTGTTCAGACTGAACACTTGTGATCAAGCAGAAGCTTGAGCAGCCAACTCTCAGGATGCATTCATTTGAATTTTTGCATTAAGCAGGGGGCTAGATCTCATGGTCTCAATGGCCCCTTCTAACTAATATTTTAGGAGAAAAATTCGAGAGATCACCCTTTTTCAGTTTTTAGAAAATTAATGCTAGTTTCTTTAGATTTCTTCAGAAACTGAACTAAGAGACTTTATACTTCTAAAGCTAGAACTTGTAAGAGGGAGAACTTCAAAAAGATGTACTTTTTTTTTACTTTTCTCTCATTCACTAAAGAAAAAGTTAAATTCTTTTTATCCTGTTTTTAATGAGATTTTTAGAGCTTGCTAAGTTCAGATGAAAAACTGAACAAAACTCTTACCCATCCCTATTTCAAATTCTCCTGAGTTGGCTAAAATAGATTTTCTTGATTTCAACCTTACTTTTTTTTTTCATTTGTTTCTCTAGATGGTTTGAACCTTTTGTTATCCAGTGGCTGGATGAGAATGAGGAAGTGTCACGAGATTTCTTGCATGGAGCATTAGAACGGGACAAGAAAGATGGGGTAATATATCAGGCTGAAGATTTGCATCTGGTTTCATCAGCACTGTAATAATAATAATTTTAAAAAAAACAACCTCAGAACTGAATTCTGTTGGAACACAGCTCTTTGTGGCAACTTTTGATAGAGACATATTTTAGAAAGAACCAGTGTTGCATAACAATTAGCATGTTAAACATTTATCCGCATAACTTTGCAAAATATTATCATCTTATAAATTATCCTATGATTATTCAGTTAATTCACCAGAATTCCATCACAAAGCATAAGTTTTGAGAACAAAGTTCTCAAGTTTGGTTCTTGTCAACTTTGAGTAAGACTAGAAAAAAGTCTTTTTCTGAAGTTCAGTAATTCACTGCCAGAATAGGCAAGAATGAATTTAGCAAGATAAATGTTCTAACAGCAGTTTTCTGATTTCCATCCCAAAGAAGTTAGCTTCTCATTCAACCTTCTTGGGTCTTTTTCCAGTTCCAACAAACCTCAGAACATGCCCTTTTCTCCTGCTCTGTGGTTGATGTCTTCTCCCAGCTCAACCAAAGCTTTGAGATTATCAAGAAGTTGGAGTGCCCTGATCCACAGATTGTAGGCCATTACATGCGCAGGTTTGCCAAGGTAAGGAGCAGTTCCTCTGCTATGGTCACTACTGGTGTGTGCTTATCATTTCTGCCTTTGAAATGATAGCAAGGAACAACTCTTAGAGAAGTTGACCAGCCAAGGAATCTTTCTAAACTAAAAGCAATTGCTAGGAAGACCAAAACATCTTCGGACTTGATCTTATTGTTCCACCTTTTTACAGAAGGTTTCCACAGCTATAGAAGGACAATTTCTATTTGACTCAAGAATGTTATGAAGACTTCCACCTAGCTGCTAGGTAAATTGAGATAAAGGTTGTGGCTGGGGAATGGAACTGTAGGCTGATTTAGGCAGATCTTGGATATCACACGGAAATATTCAACATCCATGATAGACAGAACTGTTTCCAGACATTAAAAGATAATAGATAAAATAATAGATAAAATGGAACATTCCTCCTCAGAGTTATATATCTCTGAGAGTGCCCTTATCCTCGATTCCTGTTTTTATGGCCTGCCTGGAAGTATTTGTAAAACTATTGTTGAAAAGGGGATACTGACCATATAGACATCCATCTGTCAAGCCAGGACTTTCTAGCTGAAAAATGCTGAAAATGTTGATCCAACACACGCAAAGGGCATCAGATTGGGGAAGGCCCTGCTATAATCCAGTAAATCACAATCTGATCACAATGTCTGCTCAAAATTCTCCTTGTCTTTCTGATTGACTTCACTTTGCTTTTCAGACCATTAGCAATGTCCTGCTGCAGTATGCGGAGATCATCTCTAAAGGCTTTGCTTCCTACTGCTCCAAGGAGAAGGAAAAAGTGGTGATGTATTGCATTCAGGACTTCAGTTTCTGACATGCTTTTTTCTTTTAAAATCTTCCTGCAGAACCGGGGATCCCAAGGAAGCCCAGTGGGCTCCAGGATGGGGATGGGGTGGAACAGTTTATGTATTTCTATTTATTTATAAAATTTAAGTGCCATCAATTTCACTGTTGCTAAAGGAAACAGGGATATTGATGTTGTGAGATTCCTGCAGCAACTAGGGGATGGATTAAGATAGCCTTCAAGACCTGTCTTCTGTTTTCATAGAAGTTAGAGTTGCATAAGAAGTGAACATTAATAGGGATAATTGGCTTTTCCAGCTTTGAGGGGTCCTTGGTACTCTCTGAGCTTGCAGATGTTTTATTCCCCAAAACCAAGTAACTGATGATGTTACTTAGTTTGGGTAATGAACCATCTGCAAGAAAACAACCAAACTCAGAGAGCACCAGGACCCTTCATTTCAACCCTGAGCTACGCATATTCTCTTTATTGTTTTTCTAGTTTTCTTTGCTGAAAGTGAATAATGGAGGTCTGATGCATCTGAAGAATACCAACTTCAGAGAGATTGCTTTACATTTAGAATAGAATAGAATAGAATAGAAATAGAATAGAATAGAATAGAATAGAATAGAATAGAATAGAATAGAATTCTTTATTGGCCAAGTGTGGTTGGACACACAAGGAATTTGTCTTGGTGCATATGCTCTCAGTGTACATAAAAGAAAAGATACATTCATCAAGAATCATGAGGTACAAATTTCAGAGTTTTACTTTGCAGTCTCCCTTAATATTGGTTTAACGGAACTGAGGGGGAGGGGGGGTTAACCAACATTGTCCCTGAAACTGGAAGACCCTAGAATCACAGAATTGAGAAGACTTCAGATGTAATCCACTCAAAGCTTCCTTTTGGTGCAGGATCTGCTAAAGTCAGATGTCAGCTTGTCAGATGTCAGCCTCAGTTTGAAGACCTTCAGCAAAGGGAACATACCACTTCAAAAGATAAATTATCCTATTGCTTGATAATTCTTACCACCAGGAAGTTCCTCTAGAAATCTAACCTGAATCTGGTCCTGCTCCTCAAGGGCAAGAGTTGCTCCATTTCATATCACAATTGATGTCCATGTCAACCCCAGTGGTCATATGTGCGTTGATCAGAGATCGAACAGCCTTGAAATGTGTTTGTATATATGTGTTTCTTCTGTTCCAGCCCTGTATCCTGATGAACAACATACAGCAGTTACGTGTCCAGCTAGAGAAGATGTTTGAAGCTATGGGGGGGAAAGAGGTTTGCATTTTTTAATTATCTTGGACAACTGGGCTGCAAGTGGACCAGACAGGCACAGAGAGATATGATGGGTCTTAGTCACCTTTTGCAGGCATCATCTCTGTTGTTCTGCAAGGTCTCTTCTCCACTTATCCATTAGACCTGGAGGGTAGATTTGACTTCTCATCAATAAGGGAAAGGCTATTCTTCCATTTGATGGAAAAGCTTTGCCCAGACTGACATGCCTGAAGCTACGAATTCAAAAGATCCTTGAATCAATTCTGAATTCTTTGATTTCCTTTTTTTTTTTTTTTTTTTTTTTTTTTGCCTTCTCATCTTGGATATTGAATACAATTCTCAAACTGGAAGCAGGTGGAAAATTCATGAGATTTTTTCCCCCCTTTTAATTGCCAAAAGGTATTTAAAGTGTCTAAAGTGCAAATTTTGAATCAATTTGAAATTGGTTTACTTTCCAAAGACCATGTGAGAGAACTCTTGACTAGTTCTCCTTGGCCCAATTATCTGCTTTATTTTTACTTTTCTGTTGATTAGCTTTTTGTTTCCCCTCCATCGATTCCTCACTTTCAATCTTTTTGTTACATTTATTTACTGTATCTAAAGCATTAATATTGCCAAACTTCACTAAATGGATTTCTAGGGCAGTGTATTAAATTTTAATCTTTAGGAATAATCAACTATCCAATAAAGTAAGCAGAAGCTTGCAGAGTGGGCAGAAATAGCATTCCAGAAAGGTGGTGTGTTTTTCTACCTTTTTAGCTTCAGAGCTCATCTCTCTACAAATTTCTTGGTAAGATTTTAATTCAAGCCAAATTGACAATATCGTTAATACTCTGAACAACCAAACATTCTGTGATATCATACCAATTTAGCCAATCCCTAAACTGAAAAATTTTGCCTTTGTTGGCTAAATACAATATAACACACATTAGCATCTCTTTAGTAAATAAGTAAGAAAATACACATACATACAAACACACATACATGCATACATACATACAGTACGTACCCCATTTGAGATCAATTCTGGAAACTGGCTTCTATTATTTAAACAGGGTAATTTTGGTTTTTGCTCATAATTATTGTTCTGTCCTCTCAGTTGGACACAGAAGCCAGTGATATCCTCAAGGAACTTCAGGTGAAGCTCAACAATGTCTTGGATGAACTAAGCCGAGTATTTGCAACCAGGTAGGACTAGTTTGGAAGACAATGGGATGTTAACTTGAGGTCATTTCCCTACAGAACACTTGATATTGGATGTATAAAATGGGGTGGGGAAGGCAAACTGGATATTGGCCCATTAATCAATGAAAGCACAAAACGTACGACATTAGTTCAAGACTTCTGGCCCAGCTTCCTCAATTTTGCATCTTTCAACTCTATTGAGCCTACAGTTCTCAGCCAGAAATTATGGGAGTTGCCAAGAGAACATCTGAGCATGGTGCCAGGTTAAGGAAGGCTGGTCTTGTCTCTTCTTCAGTAGAATATCAATCGACCCCTTCTGTTTCTCTCCAGTTTTCAGCCCCATATAGAAGACTGTGTGAAGCAGATGGGAGACATCCTGAGCCAAGTGAAAGGCACTGGGAATGTGCCTGCCAGTGCCTGCAGCAGCGTGGCTCAAGATGCTGACAACGTCTTGCAGCCTATTATGGACCTCCTAGATAGCAAGTGAGTGCAGACCCAGAGGGTGTAAGGTAGAAATCTTAGCTACCAAGTTTCAGGTATTTATTTGTTGCATTTCTACTTCATTTTTTAAAATTGTTTCAATTACTTTTGCTCCTGTATATTTTTTCCTTCATTAAACCACTTTCAGATTCCTGACCTTTATTAAAAATGATGATTAACTCTCTTTCTATTATTCTTTTAGTAACAGTCAGAAGGATTTTTACTCAGACAAGTTGTTAATGTATAAGTTGGTTGCTGAATATAATTTTTGAAGGCTAGATGCAGTCTGCTTACTCAGTGTTGGTTTTCTAGGCAAGTTATGTTTGTAATTATATACGCAGAGAGAAAATTCAATTAAAAGAAATTTAAAAGAAATTTAAAATTGAAAAGAGCCTTGATAGTACAGTGGTTTAGTGCACCCTGTCATTAACACAGCTGCCTGCAATTACTGCTGGTTCGAATCTCTCCAAGGCTCAAGGTTGACTCAGCCTTCCATCCTTTCTAAGGTAGGTGAAATGAGGACCCAGTTTGTGGGGGCAATAAGCTGACTTTGTATAAAATATACAAAAGAATGAAGGCTATTGCTTAGTGCATTGTAAGCCGCCCTGAGTCTCTGGAGAAGGGCGGCATATAAATCAAATTTAAAAAAAAAAAAAAAAGCACCTCCATTGTGGGATTTGGTCCAGCAATTATAGAGACTTATTTTATTTATTGTATTTTATATTTATATTGTGGCTTGTGTTTTATTGTTGTGAGCCGCCCTGAGTCCATTGTGAGATAGGGCGGCATATAAGCCGAATAAAATAAATAAATAAATAATTTTATTTTATTTGTCAAGAATGTATTAGGTAATATATATAAGCATGAATTGAATACATAAAATAGATACGAACAGAGGAAACATTAAGACAGGGACGATAGGCACGCTGGTGCTCTTACGCATGCCCCTTCTTTGTGGTCTGTGCTTTGTACAGGTAATCCTTGATTTACAACCATTTGTTTAATGACTGTTGAAAGTTACGGCCCTGAAAAATATGACTTAAACCAATCCTCACACTTGGGACCCTTGCAGCATCCCCACAGTCGCATGATCAAAATTTGGATGCTTGGCAACTGGTGTCTATGTGTGATGGTCGCAGTGTCCCATGGTCACATAATTGCCACTTGCCACTTTCCCAGACGACAAGCAAAGTCAGTGGGGGAAGCTAGATTCACGTAACAACCTCAGCAAAAAAAAAAAAGATCATAAAATGTGATGTGACTCACTTGACAAATGCTTGGATTAGCAAAGGAAGTTCCAGTCCCAACTGTGGTCACAAATCGAGCTTACCTGTACTGAGTATATTGTATGGGTCTGCACTCCTTCCTGCATAGCTCATTAAATAAAGAGGAAAGTCAGCAGAAAAGCAAATGCTTTCAACATTTTGCCTTTTTTCATTAAGAAGACTCTGTGATTGCTGGACCTTTCAGAAACCGGCTGAAGTTGGCAGTGATTGCAACTTTGCTACCTTAAGCATGGGCATTGTCAACCCTGAAGCTGGCCTGGCCGAAGCCATCGTGGAGCTTCAGTGCTGCCACGCTAGAGCTGAGGAATAGGGAGGGGGGATTAGAGATAGCTGGGGCTGTGTAGTCAAAACAAAATACTTTCTCTTGGGAACCAAGGACGTTCTCACACCTGGCCAGAGGAAAGAGGAGGGATGTCACCAGACCAGCGGATGCTGCCTTGATTGGGCCATGTGACTGATTGATTGGAATGGGGGGGGGGACTTTCACTTTTAATTAGGTGAAATCCGAGGGACTTTTCAGAGTCAGTTTTCACCAGATAGGTGTCACTATGATATTTCCAATAAAGCTGTTCTTTGAGGAATCTACCTGTCTCGGAGTTTTTGCTTGCAAGGGCTCTGTTACTCGGAACCCTGACAGGCAGAAATTTCCATACCTGCAAAATAAAAATCCAGGTGACATTAGATTATCGCAAAGAGTTACATTTCCTATATCTCTTTACTGCAATCTATGACTGCTTGGACTTTTGCAGTCTAAATCAGTAGAGAAGGAAGTTGAAGCCAATTAGTTGGCTTCAATTCCCTTCCTAGCAATCTCAACTGCCGTATGATTTCTAGGACAGAGAAGACACTTGGGAAAACTTTATTCATGTGAATCATGCACATAAATAGGCATTTTCTTGATCACTCCTGTCCGAGCAGCACATATAATACCTGGGCCCAAATGTGTCCATCCTATTCCAGGCCCAAAGTATTGGGGACTGTCACGTTCATTCAGCTGTTATCCTTAAAAATGCTCATCCTCTTCTTTGTTGCATTAACTTTTTTTCATCCTAGCTTGACTCTCTTTGCCAAAATTTGCGAGAAGACTGTCCTGAAACGAGTGCTGAAGGAACTCTGGAAGCTTGTCATGAATACAATGGAGAAGACAATTGTACTTCCTCCACTAACTGACCAGACGGTGAGTCCTGCTAGTATGGGATGATCCTCTTTCTGGACCCTGCAACCAACTTCCCAATATTATGGAAATGTGGAAAACAAGACATTTTTTGTAAGGGGCCAGCTTAAAGGCGACTTAGTATTCTGTCAAAAATATGCGCTGCTGGCCATATAATTCAGTAAGATTCTCAACTTGGATTTAAAATAGGTACATTTTGGGACCTCGTTGTTCAGATGTTTATTTCACATGAACAAAAATGCTATAACTTTTATGTTGTCTCTAAAAGCTTGGGTCAATTTCTTCAAAGGTCAAAAGTCAAACTTTGTGGGAGGAGCTCAGGCTCCTTGTATGATCTCTTCTATGGAAAACAAATGGAACTAGAGTAAAATTCTAGTAACATCTTATTCTGTGGAATAAGATGTTATAGTTTTCTTTATACCTAACTCATCTCCTAAAATAGGGAGTACAGACATGAGCATTGCTCTTTCTTTCTTTGGATACTGTTCTCCTTCCCTTATATATGTAGAGGGGACTTTCTACAGCAGGGGCCTAGATTTGTGGAAGTTCTCCATGCAATTCTGAACCTGGGAAACAGGGTTTGAAATTTCAGGTGAGCTTCCATAATTAGATAGATCTCCATTATGGATGATTCTCTTCTACGCTTGATAGATGATTAAGATATGACAGATATGATCCTTTGGAAATACAGATTCTGTCTCCGGCACATGATTTACATTTGTGTGCAGTGTTGACTCTATGGTTCTTCTGAGCTACATTTAACCATTTCTGTGAATCAATCACAGGAAGTGTTAGGATGCCCCAGACTTTTCTCCATTTTTCTAATTTTCAGAGGCCATTCTGTCCCTAAATTGCAGTAGTAGGCCAATTTGAAGCTCCTTTCACCCAATTCTCTTAGCTCCTGTTTTAAAGGGCTAGGATGGGATCTAAATTGACTGAACTGGAAAGAAGTTTTAGGAATAGTTCTAGTGGTAGGTTTTCTAGCCTAACTCGGGAAAAGAATAAACTCCAAATATCACTGTGGAAGCTACAGTTGCATCAGAGATGTCATTTTCAGAACCAACAGATATATTTCTGGATTGTTGTTTTTTTACACTGCAGATGGTAGCTGGCGTGACTAAATATTCCTCTCTTCAAATAATTAAAGAAATAATTCTCGTAGAAAACCAGCATTTCTGGATCAAAGACTAGCTTTTTCTTTAATATGCAAATACACGTTTCAGTGAGAGATCGTGATTCAGAGAGGCCAATCTAGGACCACGTGGGCAAACTCCCCTTTTCTTTAGAAGAGCAGAGCTCTTTAGAAAAGAGGAGCCCTCTGGAGTTCCAATTTAGGAAATGCTTGGAGACAAGTGATGCAGAAATGGGACAAAGAGGGTGTGAAAGCAGAAAAATTACTTACACGTGGTAGTGTTGCTCCAGGGGTTCTCTCACCTTCTAACTAAAAACAGTGGTTTATAACTAGGAATGTTCTAGTGAAGAACCCAGTTGATAAGGCTGAGGGGGAAGTTCTCAAGAAGGTTTTTTGGAAATCAGAAAAGGGTCTTTCCTCTGAACCGGAACTGAAAGATTGGAAAAGGTGGACTGTGCAGTGTTCAGGTTCTGAAAGAAAATAGATACAGATAGTCTTTGACTTATTTATTTAATTAAATTTTATGTCGTACATCTCTCCTATAAGGTGACTCTGAGCGGCTTTACAAGTTATAAAACAATAACAATAAAACAAGTTAGAAAAATAATTAAAACTACACAGGTTAAGGTTATGGCCATAATTGGGACCAGAACCTCTGTTGGTAAGTGTTAGCAGTTATTAAATGAGGCGTCCTCGATTTTACAAACTTTGCTTGTCAGAAACCTGCCTGGGAAGATCTCAAATGGCAGTCACCTGTCCTTGTGATGTTGCAACCATCATAAATACACGCCAATTGCCAAGCCATTTTAATTGTGGGACTGCAGGAAAATTGTTAACTTCAAACAATCATTAAATGAATGATGTAAGTCGAGGACTACCTGAACTCCAGAGAGTGCAGGAATATTCTTGCAGCACCTGTCAGCAACTGCCCTCAGAGCTAATGAGCCCCAACCTTCCTTGCTTTTTGGAAGCAAGCAAAGACAGCGCTATTCCATCCTGCCTTTGATCCAAGGTGATTGTGGACACTGCCGGAATATTCAATAAAGAATACGATTGCTTTACTTTCTATTTATTTTACCTAATTTATTTTGTGGTACATTACCTAGACTCCATCAGAACTGGGTTGTTTTAGGTATGATTCTTCTCCTAGTTTCAATGCTTCTCAAACGTGGCAACTTGAAGATGTGTGAATTTCACCTCCCAGAAATCCTCAGCCAACATGGAAAATTCTGGAGGTTGAAATCTACACATCTTCAAGCCAGCGTAGTTAAGGAACACGGTCTTAGGCAAACTCAACTTCTAGAGACTTTGTGGGTTGGCATGTATGTGTGTATGCTAGGTCCTGAGAAATTCTGAGATTGGTCATTAAGGGAAAATCGGGGAATAAATTAAATTTCCAGATTTTGAGAATCTTAAAGGATTTAATTGAGAGAAGAATGGGGCCAGAATTACTAATGAGGAAATACTGGATGTTGTTGTTGTTGTTTTCTTCATCCCAGGCAGGACAGTCTTTATGTTTTAGCTTCCTTAGAATCCTTCAAGATTTCTAATTGCAAATTGGGTGGGTGTAGGTGATTTGGGAAGCAAAGAACAAAAGAAATATTTCTTAGAACAGAATAGTTTTCCTTAGTCTGATGTTGCAATGGACCATAACTTCTTCATCCTCAGCCAGACTCAGTTTTGGGATATGTTGTGTTGTGATGTGATGTAAGAGAGACTGGAAAGTATAATCCAAAACAGCTGGAAGGTGAGAGATTAGAAAAGGATGAAATGAAAGCTAGATACCAATTTCTGTGACTCATCTCATTCTCCTTTACATTGTTCTCATTTCACTTTCACTGAAAGTTTCTTTGCACCTAAGATGGACTTTGCTAAGGAATATACTTTTGTTGCGCCTCTACAAATACATGAAAAACAACTCAGTCTTTTTGTAAATGCATAGGAAAAAAATCACTTTATCAGTTTCTTTCTAAAGCTGAGTTGATGAATACTCAGTAATAAAATTTTTACAAGCCAAGAATTTAGTTGTGCATTGACTGGCCAAGTCCTACTATGTCCTTCCTCTAACTAGTTCATTTTCCCCAGGAGATCCTCAGGTGAGCACATATCTTTCAATATCCAGTTCGGCTTTCAAATGGTCTTTCTAAAAACGCCACCCTAATTTAAAATAAGCATGAAAGTTGAGTCCCTGCCATTAAACTGATGAGTCGTGTCATTGAATTAACAGATGTGTGAAACTTCAAGCTTACCGTAACTTAATTGACTTAAATCAACATGGTTTTTCTACAGCTGCCAGTCATTCTTCATATCTGTAATATTCACTGATGGGACAACACTTTTGTATTGTACAGGACTGTCCCCATCAGTTCTCTGGTTGTGTTTCAGGAGGGACTGTTGTATTTGTGGGAGGCTGTGGGGGTAAGAGTAAGCTGGGTGGGGACACAATGGATATGAAGGTGATGGCCTACTCATGGTTATTCTTTCTAATTGCTCCGCTCCTCTCACCTTGGCAGATGATTGTAAGTACGGCAGGTCACCCCTGTCTCTCATGTTTGTCTCTTTCTCTCCCGCCCTGTCCATGTGCCTTGCGTCCAGTATCTTTCCTACCCAAAGTAACTTGAGCTGGTTTTTCTGTTGTTCTGTGGTGGCTGCCTACCTTGTCCCTATGCCTTCTCTATCTGCTCCTGCCCCTTCCCAATGCCTTTGCCTTTTCTTGTTCTGTGTCCTCTTCCCCCTTGTTGCTGAGCTGCTTCGCGCCAGCTATGACGTCTTGGTGGAAAGTCTGTCCCTCACTGTCAGAAGCTATAATGGGGTTGTTTCCTGGGAAGATGGGAGGAGGGAAGGTTTGCTCTTGCCATTGAGTTACAAGAAGCAGATGTTCAGGTCTGCCTATGAGACTTTGACAGGAAGGGTGAGAAAGTCAATTTTTGAGAAGTGCATTCTTCAAATTCAGTCTCCCTTCCTCTTACGTTCTTTGGAGTTGTGAAGGAACAACTTGTCTGGTGAAAATGTTCCTTGCATATGGGAGGTTATAGACATGGGGGAGCCTTGGATGAAGAAGACAACAGATCCCAAGTAGTCTGTGGTGGGCACCTTGTTACCAATACATTACTCTGCTATGGCCCAAGAGTAGGGACATGTCATGAGAAGAGGACATGTCTATTGCAATTTATGTCATGCAAGCTCTTCAGAGTTAATATCTGAGACTTACCATCCCCAACCTGATTTCCTCTGGAGTTGGTGGCTGTGCAGTGCCCAGCATTCTCACCCAACATGGTGCTCATCTCTAAATGGTATCTATCTAGTAGACATTAAGTTAGGCAAGCCTGTTTTATGCTTTGGAACCTAAGCTACTAACTCTTCCAAGGCACACAGGCTGAGGGGACGTATCAACAAAGTGTACACATTGTCATCAAATAAATCCCCCCAAATACATATACACATTTTAGTACATGGATCCACTCATATTGCCAGGTCTTTCTGATCAAGAGGTCACATCTGCACAGTTTTTAATACTAACCTGGGTATATCACAGCTGGTTTTAATCCCATCCTCCTTTGGAGACTGTATCATTTCACTGTTTTCACATTATTTCCCATAGGGACAGACAAAAGTATTATCCCTTCTCAGTGCCCTGACCTTCTAATTTCCTTTAACAGATCCTACACCAAGCATTTAAGGTGCCCATCCCTTCCTTAGCTATAATTCTGTAAATTCAACCTTCTCTAGCCAGGTGCTCTGCAGGTATATTGGATTATAATTCCCACCATCCCCTAGCCAAGCTAGCAAGTATTAAAGTAGTTTACTGCTAAATATATCAAGAGGACATCAGATGAAACAGGAATTGTTTTAATTCAGTTGTATCTAAGGA